TATACTCAGTGCTTATGGTTACATGAAACTTGAACACAAAGTACAGTAGGTTTCTGTTTTAATATGACCAAACATATGCATGGAATTACCCCCAAAATTAATTGCTTTTGTACTGTACTTATCAATTATATCTATGTCAAGATCACAAATACAAATTGATTGGAAATCAAAAAATAAAAGATTTGACTTTGCTGTCCCAATACTTTTGGAATGCATCAACTGATTCATTTTACTATATATCTTTATGGATCTTGCCCTCCTTATATCTTTCTTTCAAAGTCCTTATTGCTGAGAAACTGTCCTATCCTGTAGCTGAAACAACAATGCTACAGACACAATCAAAGTGAGTTAAAGCCATTCACATCTCTTGGGATTTGGTTTCAGTACACATAAAATATACTGTTGAAAACAGATTAATCCAAATGTGACACAGTGAATGAATATTGAAGCTGTAAATGCTTTATTGGGAGTTATGTAAAAGACTTTTGTATCATTTGGGTAGAAAACGCTTTTGATACTTCATGTATTTATTTATTTTACTGATGCTTTCTGCATCAAAGAAAAAAGAAAAACCGAGAACTGAGAAATGAAAATCCCACCAAAAAATTAAAATACTTATTAATGTTTTCAATGTGGTGGCTGAGGCACATATTTAAATGCCTGAGAGTTCCAAAAAATCTGTTGATTCGGGTCTTATGAAAGTCTAATTCACAATGGGAGTGGTTTCTGTTTTAATAATCAATTAACCTTGTCACACTTACAGGACTTACTTACATATATTAAAATGTTGAAAGAAACATGGCCATTTGAATGGGACTTTAAATGGGCGTCTAAAGTGCAGGAAGGGTTAGGTCAGCTGAGGAACCCTCGATTCATTATACAGCAGTGGTCTCTGGCTGGGCAGGGCCTGCAGAGCTAGGTTATACAAATGGGAACTTTAAGTCTATTTGTTTGCACTTCAGATATTCTCTGAGCATATAGTGTACGAAGCACATATAGTATATTCTGCATAGCTTAAAAGTAATTTAAAAAACAGTTATACCTTTTGTTTCTACAGTAGGTCGTTGCGGAAGAATTGTGCTGAAAAATGTTACAGATAAATGGGGTGCATAATAAAAAGGATAACTAACACCTCACACCATCTAGAAAAGAAAGGGAATGTTTCTATTTGATTAGCTAAAAGCTCATTAGAGACATACGGGCAAGAAAAAAAGGTTTAAAGAAATAGTGTCTAAGCTCTGCTGAGAACAGACTGGTAAAATATGAGCAGCAGCAGTCCAAGGGTCTGTATCTTGAACTAAGCGTTGGCCGGGTGATTGAAAAAGATATCGACTCCTGCTCTCCCTATCTTTCCTTGTGACAAATCAGAGATTAAACGCTCATTACAAAGATAGTGCCTCCACTGCCCCCCATCTAATGTGTGAGACAAACCTTTGATATCTCTGCAGGAGATTTTGGTTTATACTGCAGGGAAAAAATAACTGGAAAATACACCATGCATGTAGTCACATTTTACTTGCATTTAAGATATGAAATGCTCTTGGCTTCCTTTACTAACCATAACCTATCCATCCAATGCTGTTTTTTTTTCCCCCACCATAGTCTGAATGCCCTCAGGGGACTGAAAACACAGCAGGGATATGGTCTGGTGGTTACATCAAAGTCGTAAGACTGCAATCAAGTGAGCACTCAAAGCACTGCAGTGCTCTAATTATATTCAGTGCTATGCAGCAAACCCAAAAGTTTGTGATTAAAAATTTGACATCTTTTCATGGAATACATAAGATCAGTCCAGGCAGACGAGCTGTTTAAGTTTAAAATGACGTTAACATGCACGAATGTAACGAATGCTAAGAAAACATTTCAACCTTTGAATATACCAACTTTATCAGTAATATAGACACAAGCAAGAGTGTGTAATCAGAAAAGATGTTCTAACCTAGGCATTTAAAATGGAGTCTTCATGACATAGACAAAGCATTAGATGTCGCACTGCCCGGCCATGCGCACACGGGCACCCAAGAGACGGACGGTTGACTCTTGAGTCTGATCAGTAAACAAGCAAATCGCTACAATAACTGAATGACAGAAATGATTTAGTCGTGTCATTGCATTTACAAGCTCTTGTGGAAAAACATCAAGATTTATTTAAAAAAACTGTAATAGAATTTAAAGATATTAAGTTACATTAATGTATTAATTGTAATCATTTGCGTGCAAATTAGGTACTTCTAGGCCTATTGTGACCTGTGCTGTAGCTGCAACCGTATTTTTATGACGATTGTATACATGACAAGCATTCTAAGGGTAATTTATGGTTAAATACTTCAACTGATATTTGATGTTAAATTAAAAATCTAAAAAATACATTTTAAAACAGTAAATCTATAGAGAAAGGTGCTGATGACTTATTATTGGCGTGACACAACATTCATCTTGAAATTTCGGTTTCCCTTTCCTGTGAGCATTAACGTTTTCGGGAACAATTGTTCGTAGCAGAGAGAATCCAATAGGTTAAATTCAACGAACGTCACAGAAAAGGCACTGGGATTATTTACGTCTCTCCAGAACACACCTTTTTAGAAAAACGCTTTCAGGTTAGTTGTTGGTTCCAAAACAAAACCATTGCTGCCATTCCTTTAAAGACTTTCCGATATAGACAAGCTCACCGGGACAAAAAATGAAAGGAGACGAAAGTCGACATCGCACAAGACAGAATTCTCTGTGAGCATTTACAGGATGTGGCTTGAGTTAACCACGGTTAAAAAATAAACCTTTGAAACCGATCAAGGTTTCATCATTCTATCTCAAGTTCGTAACATGGGAAGCATATAAGCCACACCGCAGAGCCAAAGGAGGTTAGACAATGCGTTTAATGGAAATTATCCTTAAATTAAGAAAATAAATGAACGGAAATAGGAAGGTTTGGATTTGGAATGTGTTCTTATAAACCTGTCAGTAATAAAAGCGTGGATGAGGATGCAGTTTTTCTGATTTGCTCAAAAAAATGCAATTCGTTCTACGTTGCTTGGGAAAACGGTGCTCTATTAAGTTAGTTTGCTGCAAATCAATCACTTAAAACAAAATTGCAATAGTAAACTGATGAGACACTGAAATAAACCGATACTAATGCTTTGAGCCACACCACTGGACTGCATTACACGTTTTAACCGAATCTTATATAATTTGTCCTAAGATTGTTAAATTAATTCTTGAAAGTGAAAAGTGTGCAAATTTAACTACACAAACCGCTTTGGAATATATTAATGTAAATAATGCCAATTCAGGTTTTGCTAGGAGATCGAAAAACTTGCGCTCCTTTTTTATGGTGAAGTGCGATATAGAGTATTCCAACGCTCAGCGTTAAACTGCATCTCGCAGTAACTTCGAAACTGATAGCAGTATAGGCGTGTATCTCTTAGGAGATGCGTACTGTACAGTATATCCCAAAAAAATAGATTTAGTTCATGTTCTATCTTCCTTGTGTAGATCAACAATCATTTTTCCTACACTGTTCTCATTTTTTTCCAGTAAACCAAATAATACAAACCTCCAGTCACGTAAATAAGATTGTCTCTCACGTTAGGCTTTTCAGATTTACGATCAATAATGCCTGAATGACAACGACCTCGAAATTAAATCTTAACAGCCAGCTAGACATAATTCATCCGTCTTCCCGGGAGAATAAGAGAAATCCTGTTCAATTCCCAGGCATTCGATTTTATCACGTGAAATGCAGTCCTAAATAGCACTGACTTTTTTTTTCACATCAAATACTAACACAAAGTAGGATTCTTCCATTGAAAGTATGCCTTTCTGTCAGCATGACACTACGTAAGAGATTACCAAATAATCAAATCGATTAGTATTGGACGGTCGTTCTCACTACCATTTAAAAACCTTTGAACATGTTTTTTTAAAATTTCAAAATGTAAAGTGGGCACTCATTAAATCCCTGACTCAAATTGACCATCTCCTATGAACACAATATTGATTTAGTTCTTAAACATATAATGAAGCAATGCCGCGACCCATGATATATTATGTCTGCCTGCTTGAGTATATGTATAAAGAAATGTAGATCTCTGCTATAAGTGTGGGACGGGTCTTTGTTTTCTCCAGATTTTTGTTTGTTTCCGATAATAATTTCTGCTAACTCATCGTAATTGTTTAAGCGCAGAACTGGCGACGATCTCATTACAGATGTAAACAATCGGCGTAGAGTCCTTTTCACTTAAAGTGACGCATTACGAGTTGTTACTGAATGCAGTATTTTCTAGTTATATGTGGAGTGTTACGACGTGTAGTCAAATGTTACCTTTTGATACTTTACTCCACTGCGGAACGCTGAAATGTTCAGTACATGGCGTTTTGCCATCCTATTATCTCCCAAATCGTTAATTAGATGCATGTCTTTAAGCTTTTGTCTAAAAGACTAAGAAAGATCATGTAGAATCCCCTGTTACTGCATACAGTGTTAATATTTTCTCCAACAAGCCACAACGTAAAATTGCTCTGAAACACTCATTCCCTTCACCACTGCTTACACCGTGCTCATTCCAAATCATACTGCCATTTGGCGTGATTTTGATAAAGTGAGAAGTTACAACAATATCACACTCATGTAATTACTACAAACGGGGAAAAGGGCGAAATTCTGTTAGTTGCTCACTACAAAAGAAAAGGTTGAGTCCAGCGACTTCAGCCATTGCCCGCTTCTAATTACCGCTTAAACGTTTTCAGCACCACCAGGTTTGGACAGCGATTAAAAGCAAGGTCTCAAATTAAGTGCAAACGACGATTACGTGGTTTGCCTATATCTTACGGATCGTGTGTTTATTGTTGACATTTTTCATTTGGACTCAGTTTTTCTGTTCTTAAACGTCTTTCTGTCTACACCGGACCATTATGGAACAGTATCCTCCCCACATACGTGGATCTTAGCCAACGTCAGGACAGCAACCCACCTTCTGCAATATTAAAGAGAAAATAATGCCTACCGAACATATGGATGTGTCCTTTGGTGATAGGATTGAAACTACCGCAGGATAGCAGGATAACGTGCGTTTTAGTCGTTTCGGTCATGACTGTCTTTTTTCCCCCCAAAACGATGATTTTACGTCCAGTGCTTGCGTGCCAAGCGAGTCCGCTGCGGATGAAGGCGAGGTTCAGACTGAATGCTGCACCAGCTTAGTCTCCCCTTCCTAGACGCAGTACGTCACTTGTTTCCCTGCCTGGTGCTTAAAGGCGCAGGACAGAAAGCTTTTGGAGAGGTTTTGGTTCAATGGTTCAATTTTTACAACAGACAGCCTTGGCAAGGGAGGTGTTGCATGATTTCAAGTCTTCTCCAATAACGATCACAAATAATGCGATGTTTGCTGCTGACCTGCATCCTTTCAGCAGTATTTGGCCGAGGAGAATGTTCACGTCAATTAATGTGGTTTGCCAGACGAAGATGTTTCCCTTACTAAGGTCTACAACGGTTTGCTCTAACTGTGAAATTGGTTCACCTTAGTGAGTTTTTACGGTGTTGCCCCTATAGGTTTCACGTGAAACGCGGCTCAGTCTGGGCGGGTACCTGCAAACGTTTCCCTGCCTGCAGAGCGCAACGACCGAGGAAAACGTTAGGTTCGTTTAGGAGGATTAGCTTTCTAAGAAACGTCAGATCGCATTTCTTATCAGTATATAACAGTGAATAACATTACATTAACACTGTGGTGGCCATCGCTGCTGGCTCACGCTTCATGGGATCGAATTGCAGTGTAGGGCTCTCTGTGTGGAGTTTGCATGTTCTTTCTGTGCCGGGTGCTCCGATTTCTTTCACAGTCCGAAGCTAAGCTATCTGAGTTAATCAGCGTCCCTAAATTGTACACTGCCTTGCAGAAAAACTCTGGTACAGCGCGACCCTCCATGAGCAAATAACAACCCATATTTACATATTTCTATTCCGTCATGAAATCAACTACTGAAAAACTCCTACACTACTACTAAAACTCCTGAAATCTACTACTACAGGCAACGGTTAAGGTAAAATTCTTCTGTAAGCACTACATCGATTCTATCAGAGCTTTCTGTTTTTTGCTCTTGCAGGGAAACGGAGCTTTTGGGCGGACCAACATAAGCGGAGAACGGAACTTCAGGGCGCGTATTCGAGGACTGAAACCTTTCATGAAGAATTTATTCAACTTCCTAAAGAGTTCGCTTGATATTTACGTTTGATTTAATTTTTGAAAACTTTAAATACCATCAAATCTGATACTGTACCTTTAATAGTAGGTTCGTTTTACAATCTCTTAGAGATTCAAAATAAAATGTATAAATTAGAAACAAAACGTCTAAACAGCGCTTTTAAAATACAAAACTTTTGGTTTAACCGTCCCCTACGTCTTTTTTTATTTTTTTTTAAGAGATAATTACAAGGCGCAATACCAACTGAACCGCACACAATGTCGTTGACTAACGTCTTGGGTTATACAAATATAATCATTTAATTTTTATAATAGTTGTCTTTGTTATGCAAAACATTTACGACAGATAAGGTCAAATCTGATTTTATGTTTTTTTTTTTGGAAACGGAACTTAGGGGTTTTGCATTAAATTAACCGTTTTAAAAAACATAACAGCAAAACCATTTTATTCAATACTAGCTCTCAAAATCAATACTGTATAGCGAAACTCCAGGTAAATGGCTTTGTATTTGCACTCGAAACTTTGCTAATTTCTTTCATGTTCTCAATAAATGCCACACAAATGAAATTTTAAACGGTACATTGACCTCTTAAGAACTTCAGAACATCTACTTGTCTTTTTTTTTAGAGGAAAAGCTTTTGTACAGTACCTAGAACGCCAGATATGATGTATCTATAATTAGGTCAAGTGGCCCAATTTTTTTTGTATGTTTTGTGTTTCTTCATTTCTTTTTCATTTAGGGTTTTAATGGCCCGTTACTCTGCACTGAACCAATTGAAGGGGTACAATATGAGGGCATCTCTACTTAATTCTTTTTGCTTTCGAATATTTGATGGTGATCCAACCTTTGTCAACATTCAACGAATGATATAACGATTCAATTACGTTTAATGTAAAGGTGCAGAAATTCGTTTTGTGAATACAATATCGATTCTCCCTTTAAAATGTGTTTTAAAAAAGGTCACATTAGATTACCATACACAAACGTGCAGATTCGTACAAAAACGTAACCCCCCCTGTACACCCGAGTTGTATAAATGAAAGTGGAGTTATTTGCTCTTTCATAATAAATTTGTTTTAATCCAATAATCAAATGTTTACACGTGTTTAATGATAATGATTTTTAAGAGATGGCCTAGAGCATCGGTCCATGACTGTTAAAACCAGACAGTCGCGTTTTAAAGAGAGAGCGCTTTCTTTGTAGAGGGCAATACAGGTCTCCGAGAAAACAAGAGAAACAGGACAACACAAAATGAACCCTTTTATCAGGATATTATTTTTTTTTTAATCATTTACGTCACAATTTCTACCTTTACCGTGCATGGACCGGACGTTACTGCAGTGTAGTTCCTTATGGAAAACCTAGAGGGCAGACGAAGCTCTGAAACAAGCTGGAGAAAAAACATAAAGGACAAACTAATGATTACTGTCTCTATACATATTGGCGTTACAATATTTTTACTTCTTAGTGGTCTACGTTTCGTCATTCATCAAACGTGAGCGTCTATACCTTTGTATACGTCTTTTGTTTTGAAGGATACGAAATACTCCGGCTACCTCAAAGTACACTGGTATTTTCCCCCTGCTGGCGTACTTTTAACTTGAGAAAATTATTACCGCTGCCTGGAATGCTTTCGTCTAAAAGCATTACATATTCAAACCAATACAAAAGTTTTAACTAAGGATTTTTGTCCTGTGTTAAATGTGTGTCATACATAAGTGAATTCGTTTTGGTACTTTTTTAATACTCAGTGAGAAATTTCTTTGGAAGAACACTGGGTATCCCCCGAGAAGAAACGGGAAAGATCTTCAGCATAATTCTGTGTTCCAAGGAATTGTGTCGTGTGCAAAGAAGTTATTTTATACTTGTTAATATCTAATTTACTGCAACTGCAATTCTTGTTCAAGATATGCATTTATGGTTAAATTTTGTGTTAAAGTTAGGGTTTAGTTAGGATTAAAACCTCTGAATTGGGGTCTGGGCTAATGCTAAATGAAGACTGAGGTCAGAGTTAATGTTGACTGGGTAACAAACTTTAGCACACTCCTGCTGTATGATAATTGCATTTTGAAGGCCAAACACACTTCCTTCTTAATAGAGCTTTCTCTTGCTCGAAATTTGTTATACGCAAGGTGGCGCTAAATCTATTTTCTTTGCAGAGTAAGGTCTGTGGTGTTTGTCGTTGATTTCCTGTAGATCTCGAACAGAAATGGGCGGGGAGCGCAGGTTGTCAACTACACAATGACACTGCCCCCCTCTTCCCGCCATGTTGGCTCTAAATGGCAAGTTGACAGACAGGTTGACGATTACTACTTGCGCCAAAATGGCGACCCTTTTCCCAAACTTCCTTTCTCTATAAATCAGACAGAGGGGAGGAGGGAGAGTGATAGCGTAAGGCAGTTGGCAGCCGAGATCGTGTTGTTTCGCACCGGGAGCGCTATCGTTTTTCAAACTATGGCTATTAAGCGTTTGTGATCTAAATCAGTTAAAGGACTAATCGGGGGGCATCCCGGTAGTGTTATAAAGCATCAAAAGGAAAAAGAAATTCCTCGACTCTTTGCCGTGGGAGTAATCGTGACTGCGGAGGCGTGTGTGTGTGTAACCCTCTCTTTTCTGTGCTGGTGGTTTTTGTTTTAAATTCCCCTCCCCTCCTCGGAGCCCGGAGATGGTAAGTTTGTCCGCTCTGGCCGCTGCTGGTGACGGAGAGAGGAACAATATGGCGCTGCGAGTCGCTGCTGCTTGCGCTGGACCAGTCCTTGTCTAAAGCCGGGGACAAACAGGATGAACCTCTGCGCCCAGTACTTACGGTAAATACCCCCGATTTGTGGCATTGATTGTTTAAGCTTGAGGCGTTTTGCTTCCCTTTAAAAAAAAAAATCGAGGTGTTTCCTCGACTTGAGAAGGGGAAAATGGAGACAGTGCTGTTGATGTGTGTTGGGACGGATTTGTCAGGATAGTTACGGTATTCCCGGTGTATGTTCCGGTAACGAGCGCGGTTATATGTGCAAACGGGCTCTTTCTGAAATAAACCCACACGGGCGTTACGTAAGCGTAAATGAACCGAAGGGAAAATGAAACACAGAACAGTCGTGGTTTCGAATAGCAAAAACGGTGAGCCAAGACAGGTGCAAGGCGCCGACTCTAATTTCTTTCCCCTTTGCGAGCACAAGCCGGCAGACGCACAGAGTGTATAATAATATAATATATAATCATCTGCTGAACAGTCATTGTGCATGCCAGGTGACCTCTGTTAAAAAAAAAAACCACCGACAAGAGCTTGATCTTGACTTTCCACATTTTAAACACACGCGGCTACAGGGATTTATCCACGAAGAATAGGCAGGCACGTTTCACTTTTTTTTTTTGTTTTTTAGAAAAAGCAACAGCGGTGTTTTTGGCAAATTCTACACGGTCTGCGTTTTCGCGTCTGGCTGTATTTTGTTCCGCCAGGAGATCAGATCCTTTGCTTTTCCATTAGCTTGCGTGAATGCGACCATTAGCCAAGGTGGGCTGATTTGGCAGAGCCAAAACGAGAGGAAAAAAAATAAATATGCTGTCGTGCGTGATCCTCTTAAAACGTTACCGGTGTTCGTTATTAATCCTGGTTTCCAAGTCATTGAAAAATACCGCTGTGGAAAGGGGTTTGGTTTTCCAGCGGGTGCTGCCGCCAGCGAGTAGAATAGACTCGTTTTTTTTTTTCCTCCTTGTAAGTCGTGAGCGGGGGCGTGAAAAGGTGTTGAACCGATAAGTTACTATAGCTACACGGTGAAAGCATCTCTTTCTCGCCGGCGCTGCCGCCGGGGGAGGGTTGACAACACGTGAAACGGCTCCTCTCAAACCCCGCACACAAAGCAAAGCCCCGGTCTCCTGTGAGCTGTCGCCGGGAGCACGCTGCCGAGGTAGGGGCGGCCGAAGAGAGATGTTTCCGACAACTGGCATCGCAAAGCCCGGCTGCTGCTTTGCGCCGGTCGGCCGGGGGCGAGGCGAGGGGAGGGGACGGGGAGGGCACGCAGACAGAAGGACACCGGGGCGGAAAACAAAAGCTCCCCCCCGGTATCTCATCTGTCGAAAACTGAGGTTTGCGCGTCCGGGACGCGGAATTTCCTCTGTGGCCTACAGGTTATGTGACCAGTACGTGACACAAGTCTTTGTTTTGTGTGTGTGGTGGTAGGGGGGGGTCTTTCTCGCTGTGGAAAATGACATGCGTCCGGGTTTCTTTACACCTCTAATTTGAATTATCATCGCCTCCCGGTTGAAGGAGTTAGTGGACGGGGCTTCGCCCAAGTTACTACGGGGAGTGATGTCCTGCTGTAACTCAATCGAGGCTCGAGGGATTTGGGAAGGTGTGAGGCCTTGCGCATTTATTTGCTTCTTTCGTGGGGAATTTGTCCTACGAACGCGGCGTCCCGTGTCTTTTATAAGTCGTTTTTTTTTTACGATGTAAAAGGGGAATCGTGTAATTTATGGGCCAGACCGTCCGGTGTGAGCAATAATAAACTGCCGCAGTGGTGGCCTGCGAAATAGTGATCGTGTATTGCGGAGCTGCAGTCGAGCGCTTCCTGTCAAATAGTGCGCGACTTCCATTCTGTTAGCAGGCGGTTGTGTTTCTATTAACTATAGTCGCTTATTTATTCCGTCTGGGTCTTCAGACAGCACGGATTCGGAGCAGATTTCGAAAATGTGGTGAAGTTCATGTTTTAGAAAGTTCGCGAAATGTAGAACGTATCCAAAACATGTACAACGATATGTAATAGGCGTTTAAATGGCAGGTTTTCTGATCAGTTTTAACTCCTAGACAGAGGAAGAGTAACTTCACTATTGCCTGTTATAGATTTCATATACATTCTAGATCCTTAATTCCTATTTATGTCAAGTGGTCCCTTTTTATAAGAAAACGAAACGTGCTAGATTAACCAAATGGCTTGGCTTCTCTCATTTGTCAAGTTATAAACGAGGTCTTACACCTTAATATGTTATGTAACTTGTTGCCTTTTAGTTTCTCTTAAACTGAAGGTTTTTTTTCTTTAACCCACAGCATGAGTAACTTCATATTTAGGCACATGCATATAGTTCATATTTTGTCTTCACAACAGCAGATTGTATACATCTTCAGATCTGATTCTCATCAAGACTTTGCTGGCTTTGACTTGAGAGAGCATTTTATATTTACATATTTGATGGCTGGAGCAAGTAATAGACTTATTTCATGCTGAAAAGAGAAGAAAGTAAACAATGTTTCGGCTGACCATCAGGCTGTATGCTGCTTGGTATGAAGATCGAGTGTCTCATTCAGTTCCGGTGCATGTCTCTCTACTTTCCACTGGTCCTGTCTCACTGTTGATTCTGAAGTCCTTTGGGTTGACTTGGTCAACACTTTGATCATTTTGAATGCTTAAATCAGGATCCCCCTATAGTTTTTTTTTTTGCACGACTAAAAAGGTTCAGTTCATGTAGTCTGTTAGCATGGGGCATTCCTGTGAGCCCAGAAATGTTCCGTCACACTTCTCTGTACTGATTCCCGTGCAGCAATATCTCATTTTGTATCACAGTGACCAGTACAGGCGTTCAGCTGGACTTCTTTGAGTGGTTAAATCGCAAAATAATTCTAAATAATGAGGAACGATTTTAGATGTCTTCTCCAAACCCTTGCATAGGACATTTTCTAAATAAATCAGTCTTCCCTTTCTTTTTGAAAAACCTGTTTTCACTCAAGATGCAGGACGTGTGGCAATATTGCAAATAGCATTTACTCTGTCAGACACCTGAAAGATGGTCCTCAGACACTTCTCTCTCTTGTGGTGTGGAGTCTATGTGAGTTCTCATCTCATGGTCTCGTGCTTTTGTGTTTCAGTGTTTATTTCCTTGTGTTTTCATATAACAGTTACTGGAATTTGGGTCCGTTCAATTAGGATCTTTTTCTAGAACACCTGCTAAAAAATCTAATTGTGTGATTCCTCTGGCAGTTTTCAAGCAGATTGTTTCCAACCTGTGGGGTGATGACACTGCTGTAACTCCCATATTTTTGCTTCCAGGATTAATTATTTAATACTTAATTAAGAGGAAATTATTAAAGCCGGAACAGAACGTCAGATCCCGTTTTTCTTGTAATTAAAAGCTGTTCTTTTATGCGCAGTTGAAGTGAGACATTTTGGGTTCCAAGCTAATTCATTTCAATCTAATTGTCTACCTTTGCTACGTAGTTTTGTGCGGTGGTTCTTTAAATGGTAAAATTAGAGAATTTCATGAATGCCATGTGGGGCACAGGTGATAATTTGTTAGATGCTGTTAGCTTTTGTTTCCCCCCACAGATTTTAATCAATATCATGCATTATTCATTTTAAGTAAGTGGTAACCTGCTTACTCTTAACAGTTAGCGTGTGTAATGAAGAATCAAAACTGCATGAGAAGCAAAACGTGTACTATTAAGAAATAAAATGCCTCAAAAGATCTGTAAAGAACAACCAGCCATCTTTAGTGTTTCTTCTGAGGATTAAATATGTTCAGACTAGTTTCAGAATGCAAAAAAGCTGTTTATACTAGGATCTTCTCCCAAAGGTGACTGAGAAGTATGCTGAAAAGTGACATTAATTTCAGTTCCTTTTATTAATCCCTGTTTCTTGTAGCTACTGCTGAGAGAATATTGCATACATTTTAATGTCTAGACCCAAGCAGTTGTGTTAATAGAATAGCCAAACACTTTCTTAGAAGTATCAGCGGATTGTAGTTTAGGTAGAGTTCATTAAATGGAAGCATGTTGAGTAACTTGCTGAATAGAAGAAACAAGAGGCATACAAAACGAGATTTTTACAGTCATGTAAAGGAAACTGTTTAGTATTATGCACCAGGGTATACACTGAAGCACCTATTTTACAGGTAATACTGGGAAAACAGAGGTTACGTTGTGCAGTGCAGGAGCAGTTATTCCTTACTTCAAAACAAAACTTCAGAGCAGTGAGTTCAGTTAGTGGGCCTGCTACAGTATATCGGTATTTCCCTTTTCTGTGCTGGGATGGGAGTCTTTCTCATTGTTTTTCTACAAAATTGATGAGGAGTTGCCAGTTCTTTTTTGTCTGTAAACTGTGTCTCTGCTATATGTGTTTCTAAAGCTGTCTTGATAAGAAATTAAGTGTCTTAGTGGGATGTTGCAGTGGATCTCACCTGAATGTTGTTTTCCTACAAGGCTTGCAACTGTCATGCAGACTTTAAACAATAATACATAAAGGGTTTGCAGAACAAAGTCTTCAGTCATCTGCTTTTAAATTGAATCAGTTCCGAGTTAAATCAGTTTGTGTAGTTGCTGTTGAAATAACTTTTTTCGTTTAAGTCACTTTTGGTTATGTTAGTCTTTGTGAGACGGCACATTTAATTTCCCAATACATCCACAGAATCCTTTCACCGTCTTAAAAGTTTGAGTGCTTTTAATGAAAATGAATGTTGGCAGTTTTCTTGCTTTTCATATTGTAATGAATGGCAATACTTCAGAAGCAGCCTGCTGTTTATGAAGCTCCATACTCTTTTATGGGATAAGTGGTTTACATGTAATTTTTTGTTCCCTTGCAGAAAAAAAAATGACCGTTCACAAACATCTTGCAGTATTTTTCTAGACAGTTTTTGCATAGCAATATTACCATTTCTTCAGTGATTGGTCATTTGAACGAGCTTAAAAATCATTTTATTTATATTTTTGTTTTAACAGGCAGGCAGAGGCCCTAAAGGCTGATATGACGGGTAAGTTCAAGGATCTCTAAGACATTTAAATGCGGTTTTACCTCCTTAAGGTCAAGTCTGTTGTCTAGGTCTCTGGAGTTGCAGAAGCTGTTGTCTGGCAGACATAGGTGTGTGTTTTGGTGCAGGACGCATTCCTGTTGTTAGCTACTTCACGTGACCTTCACACCAAGCATAATATACCTTCCCTTGTGTCTTCTTCAAACACAAGAAGACACCTGTGGCACAGAACCCACTGATCTCAAACAGCGATTGCTTTTCCGTAAGGTAACCATTGAAAATCACTCAAATTAGTTTTTTTTTTTGTACTTTCAAGACCTACAGCATTGTTGTTCTGTGGGGAAATATTGTTTTAGACACCCTTTTCCAGACTAGATAAGGTTATGCGAATACTGCTTAGGTCACCAGTGTAATGAGATACTGAGGTGGTTAAGGTGAGACGATGTGTTAGTCACGGTTGCAAAACCAGCTGAAAAACTGATGTGCTTGCATGCTGGAGTTTCATGTCTGTGTGTTTGCAGTAACTGAAGTGATCTTGCAAGAGAATGCGAAGACTCCTGTGGTGGCTGATGGAAAAATCACTGTTGTTGGTCATGATGCTCCCTGATTGACACTTACTGCTGGCCCTGTCTTTACATGAACATTAATATTGCCTATACTGACATGCATAACATGTTTCTTTCTTTAATGGATGGTGAATGCCCGTGTCTAGTAAACTGAAACTGCAAGTTTGATGTTCAGTATCTAATAGTAAAGTGTTTAAGTAAGTTAGAGCGGAAAGGAAATGTAATGGTATTCTCTGTTATGCAAATTTAGAATAGTTATACCATCTTTTCCAAAGCATGGTAATTGGTTGTGATTTAAATAAACAATCATGTAGGGAAAACCAGTTCCCATCACTGAGATCTAGTGCATAGTTGTTTGCTTTCAGATGTTATAGTTTTGATATTTGTGAAGAGCCTGAAAAATTAAAGTCAGTCTCACTGTTAAAAAAAACAAGCTTGTTCTTTTTCAGATGAAATGTGAAGCTCTGTCGAAATAAAGGAGAAGGAAGGCGGTTCAATAAGAGTAAAACAAAAAGAAGCAGGCAGATTTAATTTGATTTGGAACTTGAATCAAATACAGTATAAGTACTTGTTAATGGTATTAGATGTGTGTGTGTTTGGATAAAGGCATAGCGTAACTTATTAAATTAAACATATTCCTTTTCCCTAGACTCCAAGTTGGGTCCAGCAGAGGTCTGGACATCCAGGCAGGCACTGCAGGACCTCTACCAGAAAATGCTGGTGACAGACCTGGAATATGCTCTGGACAAAAAAGTGGAGCAGGACCTGTAAGCAATGCTCAGTTTATTATTACATCATTACCTTTTGTTTGCAGTACAGTTACAACACATGCAGTACTAAAATATTGAACTGAATATTTGGTTGAACTGAACTGAAGTAGCAGAGAACAACACTGTATTAAAACTGGAGTTTTGGCTATTCTGTTATGTGCGAGAGATGCACGTCAGTGCCTTTTTATGTTTTTTTTTTTTAAGATCTGATGGAAATAATACTTTGGATGGTTCCCTAAAGGGAAGTGTTAAATCTTAGCTTTGTGAGGGGCACAGTCAGTAAGGGGACTCCCTCAGCGTGCAGTGTGAGCTTGACCCTGACATTGCTTTTCTGAGTCAGCCGGTAAAGCGAGTCCTGTCACTTTCTGGGCTCCTGCACGCTTGCAGTGACTTCGCTGAGAGATGCAAAACTCTTCCAGTCAGTGATAACTCTCCTGTCAGGCACTGCGGAGCGTATAATGTCCGAAACGACAAATGGCTTTGTAGATGGGCATAGAGTGAGTCAAACGGGCATGAAAATAAGACAATTAATGAAAATAAAGTTGTTGAATCTTGTGCTACCTGGTTGTGAGATGCATTTCTTCAAGGAATCAAAGCTACAATTTTTATTTAGTAAGCAGTGCAAGTGAGAAGATGCATACCTGAACTCAGGGGGTCCCTGTACAGTGAGTGCAAATCACTGTTGCCTGTTAGAACGTAGAACCTTGGTTTTCTATAGGTAGAATTTATACCTTGCCCAGGAAAACCCTTTTTTATGTTGTTTTCCAGCTGGAACCATGCTTTCAAAAATCAGATAACAACACTACAGAGTCAAGCCAAGAACAGAGCCAACCCTAACAGGAGTGAAGTGCAAGCAAATTTGTCCCTCTTCCTTGAGGCAGCTAGTGGCTTCTATACACAAGTAAGCTAACTGTACCTTTTAAAAAAAAAAAAAAGCTACCCTCACAGATTGGTGAAAAAAGATGTTTTCGTAATACAGTATATTATGAAACTTGCTGTTGAATTCTTCCAAGATCTTTGAAAGCTTGTATTTTAATGCCAGTTTTTAGGTGGAACAAAAACAAAGTCCTGATCATTCAAGTTAATTTTCCCCCCTTTTTCCTTTAGTTATTACAGGAGCTGTGTACAGTGTTCAACGTGGATTTACCCTGTCGGGTCAAGTCGTCACAGCTTGGAATAATCAGCAATAAACAGACAAGCACCAGCGCCATTGTAAAACCCCAGCCTAGCTCCTGCTCCTACATCTGCCAGCATTGTCTAGTCCACCTAGGGGATATCGGTGAGTGAATTACTGATTAACAATTGAATACCTTATGGCATTATACTGTGCTGGTGTTCTGAAGACTTCACTTTGTGTCGCCGCTTCATCGATAAAAATTAATTTCTAGCCTTTTTTTTGCAGCACGCTATCGCAACCAAACCAGCCAGGCAGAATCCTATTACAGACATGCAGCTCAGCTCGTACCTTCTAATGGTGAGTAGCAGCAGCATCTAACCTGCATCGGTGTTCACAGAATTGATTTGATGGATCAAATGACAGAGCTTTGTTTCCTAGCAGGAAATGTTTTAATAAGTCTTACAAATCTTTCGTTAATGAGTTGAAACATTTCAGAGCAGGTAATCTGTGTGCATAAACCCTGAAGCATTTAGGTTGTTTTTTTTTTGCAAAGTGGAGGTTCATAAGTACATTGGAAATTTTTTTGAAGGTTTTGAAGGATGCTTATGCTGCAGTGTAACCTGCTTTAAAAGCAAAATGGTGTTAATACTTATATTCTTGTCATTCATCTAGGTCAACCTTACAATCAGTTGGCTATTCTTGCTTCCTCAAAAGGGGACCACCTCACAACCATTTTCTACTACTGCAGGAGCATCGCAGTTAAATTTCCCTTTCCAGCTGCTTCTACCAACTTGCAGAAAGCTCTCTCTAAAGCTCTTGAAAGGTAATGAAATAGCAGTTAGTGTTATTTTGTCTCCTTGACCATTTGTGCATTTTTGTTAAAACTGATCCTTTTCACATGATGCAGGGAACGGGCACTGCTTTTCTTTCTAGTTTATTCTAGCCCTATCGTTTTCACTCTTTGTTGATACCAGTGGCCATTACTCAGCAGATGGATGCATAATCTAGCTGTTTTTGTCAGCGTGTTACAGTGAATTGAGATGGTGGTGTACCATACTGACAAATGCAGAAGTGTTCACTGAGATTTTCAAGAACACACTATTGGGTATGACTGTTCTCCACTAACACAGTACCAAGGTTTGTTTGGGACTGGGGCAGCATCTCCAGACTGGTCCTGACTATTTTGGCATCTGAGGGATGACATTTCTGACATTTCCATTTTTAGTAAGGCCATACCTTGATACGCATAACTGACTTGAATTTGCATGAAAAGGTTTTTGACATGTCTGCTTCAGTACGTTTCAAAAGCTTAACCTAATCCTCTTTTATTTTGTTTTACTTGTAGCCGTGATGAGATCAAGAGTAAATGGAGTGTATCGGATTTCATCAAAGCTTTTATTAAGTTTCACGGTCATGTATACTTGAGCAAGAGCCTGGAAAAACTGAACAATTTGAGGGAGAAGCTGGAAGAGCAATTTCAGGTATGGAAAAACATCTCCCCACTGGCAGTAGCCACTATTAAAATGCAATACCTTTACATGCTAATCAAATATTATCTGCCTGCTCTATGTCCACAATTGTTTCTCGAGATTTTTCTGTTTATTTTGATTAACACTCTTGTGCTACAAGCTAGGCATTATCATTTGTAGGAACTGAAATCTCTGAGAGTGCAAAAGTTTGGTTCCATACACTTGTATGGTTTTATTGTGAGGGGTAAAAGGTGAAGTAAGACAAGGCCTCTGTTCTGGACAAGAAAGCATTTAATTTAAACACTTGAATTTTTTCTTAACTATTTATTGTGCACAAGGCCTGCTAGACTTTTTATATATATATATTTTTAAATGTAAATGCAAGTAATCAAGATGCAAGCTTTCATATCTATATTGGTTTTAAAACTGAAACATTTGCAAATGAACCAGAAATTGGGGTGTTTACCACATCCAGCAAAATAATTCTCTAAACATGCTTTTATCTCTTATATTACTGATGGGTTTTTTTTTGACAGAGGCTTATTCTTCAAAAGGCCTTCAGTTCTCAGCAACTTGTTCACATAACTGTTATCAATCTGTTTGAACTGCACCACCTGCGAGACTTCAGCAGCGAGTCTGATGACCACAGCTTTAGTCATGACGAGCAGCTCAGTTGGATCCAACTGTTAGCACTCTTTAGTAAGTTTACTTTTTGGTTTGGTTTTCAAGACGTTCCTTAATATGGATTAAAACTGTGATCTCTCTGATTTTTATAGATCTGTAAGTTCATGACTCTGTGTTTTGTGCAGGGTTTTCCCCACTGACAATTCAATTTTACCTCCCACCCTCTAAATTGTAATCATTTTTAATCTGCCTACCTGTCTGAATCAGAACAGGTGGGTGGTTTGATGCATACAAGCTACATTTTAAAGCGTTAAATACTCCTTAAGCACAGATGTCTTAATCTTAATGTGGATTTCAATCTTTTTTTTCCCTTTTCAGTGTCTTTTCTTGGTATCATGTGCAGCCGTGTATTGCTGAATAAAAATCGTGAAGACCTAATGGGAGAATGTCCTTTGCCTGCAATTAAAGTTTCCTTGGATTGGCTGAAACTTCGACCAAGCGTTTTTCACGAGAGTGCAGTGGACGAGAGACAGTAGTACGTCTTACATTTCTGTCTTTCTAGAGGATGTTTATCGTGTTGTCTCAGTTATTTGGGGGGTGTTAACTGTGTTTTCCTGTTTTTCCTTTTCACTCCAGCATTTGGCCATGGCTGGTATCAATCCTGAATAGCTTTCAGCCAAAGGAAGATGACGTATCTTGTGCTTCAGGTATTTTTATCGTATATCCTCTGTGCATTTTTTATATATCCCAGCATTTGCAAGTTTGTGTTGGTGTCGTGCCATGTCCTCATGCTGTTTCATAATGGGATGAGAGTGTAATTGTAATGGCATGGTTTCTTTACTGATGGGGGAAGACGGTTTTAGCTTGATCATTCTCTGCACAGCTGGATGACGGCTTTGCGTTGTTTTCCAGCCACCCCTCTCCCAGAGGAGTTTGAGCTGCAAGGATTTTTGGCCCTCAGACCTGCTCTAAGGTAGGGTTGGTTTTAATTCATTTAACAACAAAAGCTGGAATTTCACCTTTCAAGCCTTTGATTGGTGCTGACGATCCTTATATTGAACATTTCTTGCTCCAGGACTTTGGATTTCTCTAAAGGGCACCAGGGTATTGCAGTGGACAAAGAAGGCCAGCCCCTGCGAGCTCGCCATCAGAGACTGATAAGCCTTGGTAAATGGGTAGCCGATAGCCAACCCAGGTAAGCAGCTCGTAAAGCTGAGCTCTGGAATGGCATTTTCCCCCATATTTCACATTTATAAACTGTATAGCTTTTAAAGGAATTTCTACCTTGATTTACCGGTTTCTTCCCACATCTAATATGGAATGATGTGATATACTTTGAGAGCATGTGAAAGCAAATCTAGGTGTAATACTTAAAAGCATCTGATGAAAATGGCTAAGCTGTTAAATGCCCTTTTGCAGTACCGTTGATGCTCCTTAGGATGGATTTGCAATAATATTGCTCCAGTTTGATTTTGTGATTTTGTTTTAAAGCAGTTATTTACTGAAAATAGAGTAAAAAGCAGCATGCTGATGGATGCTAGATAAGTTTCCCGTCTTAAGTCAGACTGAATCAATGAGGTAGGAACTCGAAGTTAGAACTTACCTCATCCTGTATTATTTTGCAGGCTTGTCCAGTGCCGAATTGATGATGGCATGCTTCTTTTTGTAACCGACATCCCTGAGCCAGTGATTGAGGAGCTCGTTGAGAAAGATGGTCCTGTTCTGCAGGAGTCTTCTAATGCAGAACAAACTTCCAATGAGGGCAGCCAGGGCTTGAAATCTGTTCTGCCCGTGGGCAAGACTCAAAACAGCAGCTCTGAGGGTGGAGAGAAGCCCGTGGTGACTTTCAAAGAGAATATTAAACCCCGGGAGCTAACAAGAGATGCCAACAGAACCCATCACCTAAAAGAAGGGCTGAAGGAGAGAAGGGAGTTCAGCAAAGGAAACTTGTCCAGCAAAACCGATCTGAAGAAGGACAACAAAAGAAAAAATGAAGCCAAGAAGACTTGTCACGAGAAAATGCAAGAGCCAGGAAAGCAGAACGTGGCAGTACAAGTAAAAAAAAAAATTATATTCTCTGGTTTGTTCTTCTAAGCCTTCTCCTTTTTTCTTCGTCATCTAGATACGTTTTTGTTTTCTTTGAAGGTGAAAGCCCAGTCTGAAATAAGGAAGACCCCGGTCTCGGAGGCAAGGAAGACTCCAGTCACCCAGACACAGACGCAGACGAGCAGCTCCTCGCAGTTCATCCCCATTCACCACCCAGGGGCTTTCCCTCCTCTGCCTAGTAGGCCAGGTACGCGGCCAGCCGAAACACGCTTCTGCAGAACCTTGATTTTTTTTCTTATGTTTAGAGCGATGGCACGAAATGTGAGCTCAGCTCGTGCAAATCATTACGTCATAAAGGAAGATGAACCACTACAGTGCAGTCATGGGTGTATTCAATTCAGTTTCTTTTTATATAGCGCCTTTCACAACAAGGTTGCCCCAAGGCGCTTAACAGTGCAAGTGACCGTACGTGTGAATACAGAACAGAAAAGACCAGAAGACAACGGAGGAGAGAAGCCAAAAACTCCTTAATAAGGAGAAAAAAAAAAACCTCTAGGGGTCCGAGGTCAACTGGCTGCCCAACCCCTTTGGGCATGCTAACATTATACAATTAAAAAAAGAAATAAATGAATGAGGGTATTTTATCCATCCATCATGTCTTCTGTATGTCAGTACTCCACGCAGATCTCTGTAGACCGGCAAAATCCTCCTAAACGGATTATATGTAGGTATCAGTGTGAAAAGGGACACGGTTTAATTCTGAAAAAAGGACCTAACGTACTTGTATCATTGTTTTTATTATGGGGGTGCAGGAAATAGCCTGGATGATGCTTGCTGGCCTGGAACTTCACTGCTGCATTTCGAACATAATTGCACGATCTGATAGGGCTGATGTGGTAATTTGCCTTTCTCCTTCCAGGGTTCCCACCCCCGGCGTACGTTATCCCGCCCCCTGTTGCTTTCTCGATGACCCCGGGCTTTACGTTTTCCACGGGGGTGTCTGTGCCCGGAGCCTTCCTCCAGCCCGCCACGCACCCGCAGGCCGGCAGCCAGGTCCAAGCCGGGAAGCAGTCGCACATTCCTTACAGTCAGCAGAGGCCGTCGGGGCCGGGGGCTTTAACCCAGGGCCCCCAGCAGCAGCAGGGTCAACAGCAGCCTCCCACGGCCGCCTCCCAGCAGGCCGTGCAGCCGGCAGGGCAGCTACAGGTCCAGGGTATGTCCCAGCAGCAGCAGTCTCCCACGAAGCCCGTGCAGCAGCAGCTTGGGAAGAGTCCTCCTCACCATCCAGGCCTGCAGCAGGTAAGCGGGGGAGTTGTAACGGAAGCTGCCGGTGTTTTTGTTTTGTGTGTTCGCCTGTCCAATGTGCCACTGCCAAGTGTCATTTACTTGCTTAACCCGCACCCTTATTTAGGGTAGTTTAGAATGTATACGTGAAATAAATGTAAAAAAGTCCGGATACAGTAGAATGAGGTAAAGGCAAATGCTAAAAAACGAGGCAAGGAAATGTTACAGGTGCAATTAAGGTACATGGGGAAAAATGCATCTAGTGGTTAACAAGTTGTAGGTAAGGTTTGCAATAGAGACCGAATGCCATTGAGCAAAGTGCAGTGTCATCAGCTGGTAGTAAAAGTTAAGTCTTGGCTCTTCCACGGAGACTACTGACGGCTCTGGAGAGAATGAGACAGGATCTGTAAAGCTTGTATCAAATGGCACTGGAGTGGGAGAAGCATTGTGTCTAACGGGGGACGGCAGTTCAGTGTCCCTTGTCATCACTGCAAGCTTTCAGGTGTCTGGCATGTTGCTGGAGTAGGCTTTGCTCTGAGAGTTGAGTAGGCCATGGCTAACTAATCCCAAACCTGCCTCTATTTTGCGGCTGGTGTTGCTTCTTCAAGTGAAGCTTGAAATGCGTTGTCTAGGCTTTGAAGACCATACTGTGAAAATCAGTGTTATTTAAATGCAGAAAATGAATTATGCACATATATGGTCTTCACCTCCACTCATTTGTAAGTCTTCTTTGCAGAAATATGAAAACTTTTCTGGAAGAAATACTAATTGTGCTTTTTTTCCCTAGTTCATGCAAGTTACTGAGCAGTCCAGCCAGATGTGGAATCAGCACCAGGCACAGGCTCCTCTCCAGAAGAATCTGCCAATACAGATGTCTGTTAAGCAGTCCTTTTACATGCCACCTCAGGATCCTCTCAAGTTGTTTGAGCAGTCTCTCCAGACTGTGCCGATGCAGCCTCAACAGCAACCGACTATGGACAAGAAGATGAAGCTGTTTCCTGTAGAGCCTTTTGGTCAGAACGCCTCAGAGGTCAAAGTGCAGGATTTCTACTGGGACCCTCCGTACCGCATGGCTGCGGACCGCCAGATGATGGGGCAGCAGGTGAACAGTGACCGCCTGGTGAAGCGCCCACAGGGAAGTTTCCGCTCCGACCAGGACAACATCCCAAGGGTGTCGTCTTTTGAGGTACAAAAAAAACCACTATGATTCCTACTTGGTTTATGCAAATCTGTGCACTGTCCAGAAGTTGTATTGGGGAAAACCTTCTTCTTGGAAACCCTGAGTAATATTTGGTACTTTTTTAAGCACACCCCATCTGCTTTTATTTCATCTGCATCTTCGACAAGTGCTACAAACAGTGCATGCCGATGAGTTTCCATAGGGTGAAAGCAGAGAAATGACCAGCTGCCACCAAGTGCTAGGGTTTGTAATTTACAAGTGATGGTTGTTTTATCCAGACCTCGTGAGGTTTTATTCCTAAAGAACGTCCTTCTGCGGAGGCTTTGGAGTCTTGTTCAAATTTTACTTTATTTTTTTTTATGCCACTTGGCTTTTTTGTTAAATACGGGACTCACCTATGAAAAGAGCAATTTAAACATTAAGAATATAAGAAGGGTTAGACTGCAAATGAAAATTGGGTGTGGCCTCCAATGGAACACCTAAGTCTTTTTTTTTCCAGACAAACTGCTCCAAATTGCCACAATGAAAAGTGTGAATTACTTTTCACTTAATTTTATTCAGGTGACTTAGCCATATCTCCTACTTTCCCAATTTTTTTTCTAAAAATAGGGAACCAGGTATTGGATTCCTAAAATTTATATAACTTCTTGATGTGTGGGTTTGTATATAAATTGTTTTGATTAATACTTTATATATATATTGGCAGATGAGTTGTGCTAATTCAGCTTTGCAAAAGATGTTTCTCTTGTGCGTGTTCTGCCATTGTCAACGGGTGATGTTTGAGAAGTGTTTTAAAGTTAGTGTACAGCTGCCTTCTGTGATCATGGATATTGCATACAGATAAAAGCTTCTTTGCTGCACTAAACAGGATTTCATAGGTTGTGGTATTTATTAGTCTGCATGACCAGCCTTTTTGACAAGCAATGAAATTCCTGTTCCAGCTTCTTTCTCCCTCATTTTAAGATAACTTAGGTGTTCCCCAAGGGTAGACTCTGGAACCAGTTTGGTTTTTCAGAAATCACTTGAAGTGTCCATTTCTAGTTTCAATTGGCTTTCCTCTGTGAGAGTGGTATTGTTTCTTTTAATTAATTGAACTAGACTAAATTATTTGTTACAGAGAACTGTATGCATTGCTGAGACAAATAATTCTCACTCTGAATCAGCTTATACTAAGTAAATGTCTAAAAGCAACCTGTTTCTGCCGTTTCCCATCCTTAACTCCTGATAGACATTCCTTCTTTTTTACATCTCTGTAGTTACTTCTGTCAGAAACATTCCTGTGTTAAGCCTCTTCTGCTTTTCTGCTCTCCTGACTGGTTGATGCTACTTCTCTTTCTTCCTCCTTCCTTCTGCACCATCCATGTCTCTGTAGGACTCCAAGAGCTCCCCTCTTCTACCTCCTGACCTGTTAAAAAGTCTAGCTGATTTTGAGGAGGAGGAAGAACTGGCCTTTACTAAGCCTCACGATTTCTACCAGGCCTTGGCTGGCCCTCTTAACTCTGCTCCGGGAAGAAGCATGTTTGTATGTAGCCTCTTTCTCTTCGTGGCTGAATACTGTCACTTTTATTCATGTTTTTTCCATGCCTCTTTAATGTTCCTTCTGTAAGTAATTGATCAGTTAGTTTTTGACAGCATTTGGTAGCTTGCATTTGTGCAGCAGAAAAGGTTGACCTGACTGACTGGGTTTTGTTGTGGGTTACACTTTTGTTCCTATCATTGCAGTAGCTCCAGAATTGCATAAAGCAAAGGTTCAGGGCTGCTGGATCGCACTCGGTTTTTCAAGATCAGTTTTGAGCGCATGCCTTTTCATGTTCTTGGTCATTAGAGGAATTCATTTTCAGTTTTGGTGTCGAGTTGTTGCCCGGCATGCCTGGGCCAAGCAAACATTTCCTCTGGCTTTGTAAAAATAGAAACTATGGTCCCAGATCAGAGATCTAAAATTCTTCTGTGTTCTGTGTCTAGCTGTTTAAGAGTTTTTCATTCTTAATTTAACCAGCTATATCAGCTGTCATTTACAGTAATTACTAATTTTTCCAGTGGAACACTTTTAATTTATGTAAATTTTGCAGTAGGATAAATCATCAGTGTTCCATCTAGAATTTGAATCCATGAACCTCTGGTCCAAAGTCCAGAGTGCTATCCACTACTCCACGCAACTGACTAGTACTTGGAACTTTTGAATTTTGGTTCGCACGCAGTTATGTGGTAAATTAATTCTTCTCTTGAAATTTGTGGCTTATTTACAGTAACATGGCGAGCATTTTTGGGGTATGATGTTTCTGGAAGAATTCAGTTCCCGTAGCTCTTAAAAAGCAAGAATAGCAAATCAAAACCGGTTTTGTTCTACAGCCCCTGTCTCCTCATGCTCTTGCGAGAGGCAGAACAGGGCTTAAGCTGCGGTCCGTGCTGGTTTCTGATATTTCCTGCTTGTGTGCGTCATCTCACTTCTAGTACAAATTAACTGATAATATGACTTGTGCGCTACGGACAGACACGACTAAAACAACTTGTATTTCAGTCCTCTGGCTTTATAAAAAAAGTTCACAGTCAAAGTGTGACAATTATTTCCCCTCTTGCAATTTGTTTGCCTTGAATATGTAATACTCACCATGCCCCTAGTGTGGAATTTCACAACAATTGGTGATGCTGTTTGCCTCCCCTGCCATTGTGTGCAAGCGTCGCAGAACTAGACTTTTTCTTCTTGGAGACACACTTCCCACATGTCACTGCTGCCCCTTGAAGTATTATGCTGCGTTTCAACCGTTCGAGAACCTGATAAAGAAATTCACAAACTGCCATTGTGACCCCTTCTCCAGCTATATACCATTTTTTGGGGGGAATGAAAAAGTCCTAACTACATATTTTTTTGTATGTCTTTTTAAAATTTCTATTTTTTCTACTCCTGAAAATGTATGAAGCTTTAAGTTAAAGGACATTTCAATGTATTGATCTCTGGGTCGACACCCTGGTTAAGATACACTTACTAGGTATGATTTTCTCATTTCCTTCTGTAGTTGCCAAACCAGTCAAGGCTGGAACGACCCTCTGATCTGATGTCTCAGCCTTCTCTTATGCCCTTGTCTGGATTTTCACTTCAGGTCTGTAGACGGTAGTTCATCCTTTCTTGCATATTCCAGTAAAGGACAATTGTTGTAAATGAAGAACTTGCTGTAACTTTCAACACATTGAGTTAAAATGCTGGAAATGACCGAAGTGCTTTCCTTCTAACATTTCATTTACGGAGTCAACAACTTGCATTCCTTGTTCCTTTTTTCCATCGGTTTTCTTTTCCATAACAAGTAATGCTTAATAGTTTGTTCATAGATGCCCAACTTGAAATAGAAACAATACCTGATCCTGCTTTTTTAACACTGTTTTATTCTAACCTCTTTTGTTTCTGTTGACCATAGGAGAACTCCTATCAAAATAGCAGCATTTTCAGTGAGGCATATGGCAAGAATATGGCACCTAGCACAAAGCCTGAAGTTCCTTCATCGCTGGCACATCAGGAACATTCCCTGTACACCCTGTTTGAAGGAACTCCATGGTCCCCTTCTCTTCCTGCCAGCTCGGGTATTGCAAAAGAAGCTCTGGGGGGGCATTGAATGAGTTTTTTGGTGTGTTTTCCCTCAAATTGAATTGCTTTCCTGTCGCTTTGTTTTTCAGACCATTCAACACCAGCTAGCCAGTCTCCTCACTCCTCTAATCCCAGCAGCCTGCCGTCGTCTCCACCGACACACAACCACAACTCCATCCCTTTCTCCAACTTTGGCCCCATCGGGACCCCAGACAGCCGGGACAGGAGGATCGCTGATCGCTGGAAAGTCGAGAAGTCAGGTAGACCCTTCTAGCTCCTATCCGAAACTTAACGGTCTCGGACACTTGTCCGGTCGATTATTAATATGCAAACTCATTTAAGCTCAAAAGGATTGTAGGGATGCAAGGAATCACGGTGCAGGTCACTGAAGATTTGAGAAGAGTTTGATTTGTAACGAAAGTGACCATTTCTGGAGATGCGCACAAGATGCGTTTCCCTCCATGTGCCCAATTGCAACAGTGTTACAGTGGGCTTTATAGTCGGAGTTCAGCCATGTTTATTCCCACGAATGGGGGTCAGAGTGTTCATTCCCCTTACGGCCCAGTGGCTCTTCCTGATGTCATCGCCTTTCAGCTATTTCTGAGATGTCACGCACAACAGCAGCACACAAGCCATGTCGGGAGTAATGACCCCAGGCCAAAGTCCGATTTCTAAAGGATCGACATGGGTAAATATTTATGCATCAAGTGACTAGAATTATTGTATGTACGCCATAAACGTGAGAAAATGTGGATCAACTTGCAACTTACACACTCTCAACCCCGGAAAATAAATATTGGAAAAATTATTTTATCATCTGGAAAATCTGTCAAGCATGCCTGCAAGAGCTATACAGTCTTAATTACTTTAATTTACTATTTTTATACTTATCGTGAACTTCTGTAAGTGGTTAGTGGGGGGTTTTTATAAGGGTTATAAGGTAAAATTTGACGACTACAAGAATTTGGCTTTACACACTACTCAAATACCCTAACCATGTAAGTTTGAGTTCAAAAACATACTTTGGTTTAATGTAATTTACAAGCTTCTCTAGGAACACCTTTAATGCCAAAACTCAAATTCTCTTTGGAGCATTTGAAAGCCCGTATTTACAGAAATAATATCCCACAAGGCTTTTCTCGAAGCAAAGAAATCGAGAAGTGAGCTAGAAGAGGAAGGAATGATAAGTTCAGAGACTTTAGAAATGGAGCATTGGAGTTCTCCTGAATGGCGTGAGGAAGAGCTGATCTGTTTGGGTCTTGTCGACAGCAGTGAGTGGATTCGGACTGGATTACTTGCCTGCTTCCTCTTCTGCATCGGAGAATAGCTGGCACCAAGGCAGTACCCCCTGTAACACCTGGGCTACTCAGGAATCTCCAATGGAAGACTCGAGCACTGTTCTCATGGACAGCCTGAAGGTATGGAGGGGGGATTGATTCATTTGTACTTTTTAGATTTGACTTCCAAAATTACCTTGCCAGTAATGACAATTCCTGATCACCAAGTTGTCATTGTGCAGCTTGTTGATTCCAGGAAACATTTAGGCCCAGCTGGTTATTTCTCTAAGGTGCTACATATTGCACCCTCCAGTATTTTTATTAAACGTCTTGCTTAAGTTGTAGCATCTTGGAAGCTCAGCGAGAGTGGGGTGTCTGATGGGGATATAGTGCATCCTGGCCGTTGTCCGTAAGGTTGGGACTTCAACGTGCGAGCCACAGGTAGCAGTTTGAACTGCTGGCGAAGTTTTAGAAACATCAGAAAGTGCATCGGTGAGAAGCCGTTAAGTATCTTTCACGAGCCCTGGTCTTGAAACGTCCTTGTTTTTGTCCCCCCCTCTCCCCCCTCAAGTCGATCTGGTCGAGCTCGATGATGCACCCTGGACCTTCGGCCCTGGAGCAGCTGCTCCTGCAGCAGAAGCAGAAGCAGCAGAGGGGGCACGGGGCGATGAACCCGCCACACTGAGAGGGCACGGATGGCACCACGTGTGAAACCAAGCTCCACTGAATTAACGGCATGTTGGGTTCGCAGTAGAACAACCCACACTGTCCCTCGATGCAGGTGGCAGCCCTCTCCTCTCTCTCTGTGTCTCTGTGACAAGAGGGCGTAAGTGCTCCACCAAGCCACTGAGTGCGCACCAAGCGGCTGCTGAGCAACAAACGGATTTTGACATTGGAAACGAAAATCTGAACACTCTCATGCTTCCTGACGACCTCCGGGGGAAGGACCATCAACCGTCTCACTCAGTAACGTAACGCCACTCATCCACAGAGCCTCCTCTAACCCTCTCTACGTTGTACAAGTCTCTCGGGCTGTATAAGAGAAGTGAAGAAGGTGGGGAGAAAGGCAGGCGGGCAGGTTGGTTAAGTCAAAGAGAATTGTTTGTCTTGATTTTTCTTTTTCGAAAACTAAGGAACGCTTTTGCTGGGTAAGAAAGTAAAATGGAGTATACGAACATCTTTACCGTCGCAGTAATAGTAGCACACGTAATTCCTACTTAACACAAAACAGCTTGTGGTCTGAACACAGAAACGGCGGACCCTTTCGATTCGATGTCCTGTCTACTGATTGATGGGCACTGGGCGATGCTTTTGTAAATGTATTTAAATTAAAAGGGGGCATCTCCCAGTCTTGAAAGAAAGAAAGGCATTGTGTAAGAGATGCTTCACAAATCACCGCAACAGCTTAAAATAGATTTAGATGTTAGTGTTAATAGCTGCAGTAGAGATTGCAATTATTAAATACTGTATTTTGTGAATTGTTCTGTAGCAATCCTAGCTTTAACAGATCCTGGGTAATGTGTACTGCAGTTGACCGCGTACAGAGCGACAGAACTGCTGGCGGGATTTTATATTAAATGTTCCTACTCCCACCCCTTCCACCTTACTGTCTTTGATTGCAAGTTTTACTATTGCTTACAAGAGGATGATTTAGTTCACAGTCTGCTTTCTTTTAATAGTGTGTAAGCAGCTTTAGGTGGCTTTCTTTGTGCCTGGTTAGAAGTTGTTTTTATAATGGTCGGCACCGTCTTTAAAAACAAGCAATTGGGTCCAGCAGGAGCTGCTGGTTCAGCAATACAGGGGCACAAAGCTGCGTCTGAGCGGAAGTGGGAATGTGCTGCTTTGTACTTAAGGCAGCCCTGAAAAAAATAGCCAGACTGGCACTCCCCAGCCCCAGAGCTCTACAGTCTTGAGTGTAGTTAATGGTGACATCCTCTAGTTTAATCACAGAGACAGAACATACAGGACACAGATGTATAAGAAAATATATATATGATGGTTATTTCTTTACAGTGTGGGCAGCAAAGGAGAAATTTTTATTTCGTATTTAAAGGGTAAAAAGACTGAATATCATAAGTGTATGAGGGAAAAGTGAGTATTTCTTTTTATTTTCATGTAGGAAGAAAAAACATTTTATGGAAAACAAACTTTAAACAACACGTCTTCTTGCTGTGTGATTGTGCTTTTCTTGTTGCATTCAAAAATGTAAAAAAAAGTAAAATAAAAATGGAAAAACAAGTCAAAGGACTCGACGCTGGGACGGGTCAAGGCAAAGGACAGGAAGATAGCCTTCCGCAGAATAGCAGGTCCAGGGAAATTGGTTTTTGAATTTATCAGCACAAGGGGGACTCATGAATTTATGGTATTGTTTCCATGTTAGTGCTCACAAAGCTCGGTGTTTGTGCTGGTGTTCTTCAGCATGGAGGTGGGATTACTCAAAGCCACTTTTATATGGTTCCATTTATGTACACTGTTTTGGGCAGTACGTAGAAACAAGACAAAATCTGAAACAATCTGAGAAAATTGGTATTATCCTTATAACTCCTTTAAATTTACTTAATGGCTTGGCAATTCTAGGTCTACTGCTGTGCTGTGTCCACTAAAATCAAGTAATCATTATTTGTTGAATATTTAGAAAATCACTGGGCAGATCTCACTTCAACATCTAGTATGATTACATGCAGGAAACTGCATTCTGGGCAGCTAAACCATTCCAGTGTTCATACTGTACAGCACTACACTTAGGGATGAAAGAGGTCTTGGCACAATTGGCAACGTATACCAGGCATCATGTCCCAGTTGCCCAGTTCAGGTACAAGGAGAGAATCATCTAAAAACTGCATGGGAATATGGTGTTCGGAATGTTTAGTGTTCTGTGGGAAAGAAGATCCCAACACCTCTGCAAAGGGTCATGGGGGGATTTTCATCAAGAAATTGGTTTGTGTTCTAAGCTTTTGTGTTTTCTGTCTTTCTGTGCAAGACATTCTGCAGCAATTGCTGGAATCAGCTATGCCTTTAATAAAGTAAACCATGTTCTCCCTAACTCTTGACTGTTTCTTTCCTAATGGATAAAACATGCTCTCCTCTATGAAAGCTAGATGTAATTCAGTTTACAGCAGTGGTGCTCTGAAGAACAGGTCAGAACGTTATACGTCCTGTCATATGAACTGTGTCAAATTTCTGTCCACCTTGTTGCTCAGCTGTTTTGTTTTTAGTGATCTTAATCTCCATTCCTGTGCGGAGTTGTGGAGTTGCAGAAAAACAAAAGAGGAGCTTGCGGCAAGAAAGTGATTTATTCAAGTTTTTTTTTTCGTGCTTTCAGTACAGTACAAAAGCTGGAAAATACACATGAACAGCAGTTGATTAATTATTGTGTAGAGGATATGGAATGGAGCATTCCAGACTTCCTCAATTGTGGTGTACAATAAATAAGCGTTCTTTTTTTTTTTTAGAAAAGTTGTAAATGTGTTTAAATCTGATGATTCAGCCTTTATTTTTGTAATCTTTCACAAAAGCAGCTGGGAAGATGCCCACCTTTCCTTTGCACTTGCCTTCAAACCATTCTTCATTTACTGCAGGGAAAATGGGGGGGAGATTCTCGTTGTTTAGTTATTCCTCCGTTTCCATCAGCATCTTAGCTTGTCAGATTACCCTGACATACAGTGTACTCTGGTCCAGTAGGAATACAGTTTTGGACATTTGCTGTTTAATCTGTGTTTTAGTTCAGGGAGTATATGAGGAGTATAGACGGCCCTGTTCTGTGCAGCTGTTGAGCCTGTATCTACTGATGTTTAGATGTTCATACTGACATACCGCAAGCTCCACTAGGAGGAGCAGTTTATCTCCCCCTGACAGTCTCGTGATTAGCTGTGTCACCGAGAGAACCCTGGCAGCCTAACCACAGCACTACTCCTGATGTTACTCCAGAGAATCCTAATCCCATTCGGTTATCGGCGTGACCCAGCCTGGAGCTACGGGCTTTACTAAGCGAGCGGGTCCCGTGAGGGGTATTTTTTTAATGTCCACATGTGTCACTTTGCACACTATATCCTTAGTTTGGATGCTGAACACTTAATAATGCTTAAGAATGGTTTTCCAAAGAAATGGCATAACCACTTCCTTGTACATTTTCTTAGACTTTAACATTCGGGGGATGCTTTTGTCCAAAACCTGCAACATGAGCAATTTTTCTAACTGGTTTTCTAAAGTAGTAATATTGCTGTTGACTTTACCTTGAATGAAAGGTACTTATGTTTATCTAGCATTTAAACATAAAACCTTGGTACTTTTTATAGAAGTATTTCATCTTTCGATATCTGAAAGCCTGGTAAGCGTCTTTGAATGAAAATGTTCGGATTTAGAAAGCGCTGCCCTAACGTTCCCCTCTTCTAAAAATAACTTCATATAGAAAATGTGAGAAAGGGTTAGTTACAAGGGCTTACCTTTTGAAATAACTGTGATAACGTCGCCCGAGTTAAACTGCAGATCTTCTGGTTCTGAGGCTTCATAGGAGTAGATCGCTACTACTTGAGGAGACTCATCTTTTGGTGCCATCTCTATGTTCTATCAACAAAAACACAAGATTTGTGCTTTTAATCCATCTGGACATGGTTTCTGTTGCAACTTTCACGCTTCTGGTGAACATCTACCCATGTCGCATACCTCTGTTAGTTCACACCAAAGAGTTAGATGGCCGTTCCTCTCTTCTTTCCAAGCGTTTTCCATTTCAGACTCATCCAGCTTCGCCCTCTCTGTGCCATTTTTCTTGTAACTGTGGAGAATCATTGCGTTTGATGCTGGGGTGCGGACTTTCTCTTCACTTGCCTCAAGGCAGTGTGAAGAGAAACTTTCCTTACCTGAGAGATATTGTACCTCGGGGCTGGTTCAGTTTCTCGCTGATTGCCTCAAGAACAGCAGTGTAGGAAATTCCTGGCTTCAAGGAAACCGCCACAGTGTATGTGGCATGTACTTTCACAACACACATCATGGGTTCCTTCGATTTTTCGTCCTGAGGACACAGAAGAGAGTCTATGTAATATGAAGTTACTTAATTGTTTAAGGTGCTCTGCACTTAGTTTCATTGAATTAGTTTATATTATTGTCCCGCAGCACTGAGGTCCGGGGTTCAAATCCAGACCTAGGATGCTATCTGCATGAAGTTTGTATATTCCCCTGTTTGTATGGGTTTCCTCCCACAGTCCAAAGATGAACTGGTAGGTTAATTGGCTTCAGGGAAAACTGGCTCTGGAGTGAGTGTGTGCTTGTCTGTGTGTGCCCTGTGATGGACTGGCGTCCTGTCCAGGGTGTGTCCTGCCTTGCGCCCATTGCTTGCTGGGATAGGCTCCTGCTCCACTGGGAGCCTGAATTGGATGAAGTGGTTAAACAATGAATGGATGTATATTTATGCAGTTGTCAGACTGGGTTTAAATACACTAGATGGGAGAGGATATGCTGTAATTAGTCTAGCATTTTCACAATGTATCCTTCTCTGTTAATGATCATGTAATCTCTGAAAAAAATCAAATAAGATATACTGTAAGATCACAAGGTGAGTTTATATACCTTGTTGCCTGCTTTCTCCTCTTTACGACTTGGAACAGAAGGATCCTGCACTGTTTAAAGAAATACATAAAGATGAAAAGTCAACAATATTCTGCTAACTATTTTTTAAGTTGACTTTTAAAATGAGCGCCCCCATTCTGTCGGTGTGCAATGTTCATCTCTTTACAGATGGGGAAGTTTTTCTTTTTTAAAAAGAAATGTGCCCTGGACAGTCAGTCCCCATCTTTGTCTGTGATTTTCAGGCCTTGGCCTCTGAATTCACACAGGAAAAAGAACTCCAGCCATATTTCAGCTTCACTGATGTTTTTTGTTAATGTAGACTGACCATTGCCTGTTGGAGGTTAGATTAATTTAACTTTGAAATGGATCAAGTCCCAACTGAAGAGAAAAAAGGGTTGACTTAAATTAACTTTAACCATGGTGGCCTTTTGGTGTCATTCAGGTTAACGGATGTATTGGGAATGAGTTCCTGTGGGTTACCTTTTCCCCTCGCAGGTCTTACAGGGGCTTCTCCACTGGGTGGCGCTGGAATATTATCGGTTTGCTTCACATCCTGCTAAATGACAGAAAAAGAAGGCACACAGCACCTTAACATCTCCAGGGAAACGTGTGCTTTTGAATAGATGTTTGAAGTGCAAATCGAAATAAGCTTACCTGTTCTTGCCTGGATGATAGTGTTAATTCCACTGGCTCCAGGAAATTGTATGGAACAAGTCCTGTCTGAGGAAATCAGATTCAGTAATTAGAATTACACAAATCGTGTTGATTTTCAGATCCCTTTGTCATAGTTATGATAGCAATATTTGCTTCATCCAGAAGTGTTTGTTGAGCCCCACCATGTTTTCAAACTTTTGTATTCTGTTGTCAACTGAGCTCATTGGAATTCCTCATCTCAAAGACTGCTTTGGACATTGCAGATTCATGGCAATGATAACGGCGTTTCAGAGCAGCCAGCAGGATAAAGGGAACACTCACTTTGCCGTTGAAGAAGACCTTAGCCCAGTTGTCAGCCCCCTTCTGCAGGACAAAGACAATGTTCCCCTGCTGCACAGGAAGCTCGTCTGTGGTCTCTGGGATGAACTCATAGCGCACACGATGAGGCTCCCCTTCCAGGGCTCTGCGCACAGGAACAAGGGACTGCTTTCACTCTCTGTGCCCGACCCAGTACTGAACGACCGGGTCACTGTGAAGTCTAGGCAGCCACATTGTTAAACCAGGTGAAGATATTTACCTCCTGTCTTTATCGGGGTGACCTATTTAAAAACGTTACTAAAATACAGTGCAAACATTGCATGCTAGGGGTATATCAGTTAGACATTTAAGAAAATACAGCTATTACCACAAATTATCTTCTTATCTCTTACTGGCTACCTTAAGTAATACAAGCAAATTTCACTTCTTAAGTGCATTTGTGCTCTTGTCAAAAATGATATATTATTAGTAAGCACACCTCTTACTCACCAAGGCTTTTGATATAAGTAAGCATTTCATTGTACTTGGGTACATACGGCAAAAAATAAACAAACTTGATAATGCTAGGTTCTTAATGTCTTTCATACACTAATTCTGGAAATTGCATTAAATACTTGGTCTCCTAATTAATTTGTCTGAGCATTTATTCCTCTCTATGGAGCACAGCATATTTTCAAGATGAGACATATCTGGAGAAACAATTAAAAAAATCACCATATTCACCCACTGAAGAAAGCCTTTTATCTTTTTAAATATACTTCACTATGAATACATGCATGTCTCCAGAATACCTGTTGTTGACCTATATTGCTAAAGTCTCCACTCTCTGGAGAACACCAGGTGGCAGTATAGGATATTACTGTCCATTCTTTTAACTTTGTCCTTTTTGTTGGTGTTTCAGCCTTTAGGAAAAACGAAAGCATTTGTTTTTATGACTTTGCAGATCTGTTGTAGAACTTACATACTAGGCTCCATGTTGTGTGTTATTAAGTATAATGCTGTTAAGAAGAGTTAGTTACCTCAGAGTTTCAGGAGCTTTGGTCCTGGACGGAACTTCCTGTACCTGTGCATAAAGACCAGTATTTATTCTTGTTTGTGTAAAAGATGTTAAATTTATAACTACAGTATACAAACTAGTCGTTCAAACCTGAAAAGCTGACTGGACATGGATTCATTGTAATTCAGATTTTTGCTAATTACAGGCAACATAATATTTGCATTTTCAAAACTCATAAAGCCATAAAGAATTTTGAAAAATAAATATTTAAAAGGAAATCTCAATTGTTTTCTCAGTATTGTTCATTGTGATCACTGGGAGGTACAGATAATTAATTTTTATGACTTATTAGTGGACTTTCTAAAGCTTTTATAATAATATTAAGCCAAAGCTCCATTTTTTGTCAGTGATTTGCAATATCAACTCGTGACTAACAGTGATACTCATGGATATGGACTGCACATAAAAGCTGGAGCTACTTTACCTGTGGCTGGAGAGGAGCAAATCCAGAGAAATCGTCTTTGGGAATGATGGATGCTACAACCTATACCAAAGGAAGATCACAGGCTTACTGTTTAGTACTTTTAAAGATAAACATTTCATATTTCTTTAAACCTTCTTAAGGGAACAATCCCTATTTAAACCTGATGACATGTAGATCACGATCTTCATTAACTAAAAAGCAATCAGATTGGTTTTGATTGCAAACAGCTACCAGAGCCAGTGATTTGGGCCTTTCTTGTGTTTATTAACACTCTGATTAACTCTCCTAGCTTGAAATATATGTTTCTGGTGCAAAAATGCACATATAACTGCATTTGCCCACATAATAGCAACATCTCACCAGGAACACCAATCACCAACCAGATTCTCATCCCTGAAAGGAAGATTCCTTACTGTGGCCTTTCCCAGGTAGTCCTTCTTCTCTAGCTCTGCAACATGTTGCTTGTTCGGTCTGAAAACTTCACCCGCATGGGCCTCCACAATGTCAAACAGCTTGTGTTTCTGCGCAGAAGACCGCAAGCTTATAGTTTTCACTTAGGAAAGACATCTGAGAGAAAACTGCAATACCAACAGTACCTTACTTGTTTTTTTTAAAAGCAAAAATGGCCAAGGAAGGCCAACGACAAGATTTATAATATAATCTGAAATAGACGTTTCCTTTCTGACAACATGTCCTGATTAAAATATTAACACTATTATTTTAAAAATGTCTCTTCTGTAGTAACTTCTGTCTCATGCTACAGATACATGATGATCATCTGGAACTAAAATGTTAAAGTACCAATATAACTAACCAGAATGGACTCCAGTGCCCGATCAATGAGACTGTGCTTAGCTTCTGTCTTGAGGTTGAGTGCAGCGTGCAGATTCTCCTCTGCCTTTTCCCATTGTCCTAACTGTGCATGGGCCAGGGCTACATTGTGAAGGACCTGCGCAGAAAACAGGGGAGCTTCTGAGTTTGGGATTCACAGAGAGAAGCCTCACATCTGACAACTGCAGAACATCTCACCTAAACTCTTACAGCCTGTATCTGAGGTGGTATTTACAATATACAGATCTTTTACCTACACATTAAAGTAAGTCACTCTGGGACTGATAGATAAGAAGCTATTGTGTGAGTAATAGTTCTGGTGAAAAATCTGTGCTTAGAAAGCACAGGGTGCTTCTAAAGTTAGTTGGCCTTTTCACGCAAGTATCATGAAGGATATGAAGTTTGATTGCAATGGAAGCACAATCACAGTTTGAACCTCAGGACCTTTCATTGCTTCACTGTGACTAACACGACTGCCTCTTGTGTCCATGGACATGGTGCACAAGGTGTCTGGTGAACACAGTCAATGTCCTTGAGAGCATAAGACACTGCTGCTATTCTTAGGATTTCTTCCTTCTATTGCTCCCTGTATGTATTGTGAATCAGGCGTTGGTGTATCAAGTACTGATGAGGAAACATGTGACCAGTGAACGGTGTGTGATATTCAGAGTCAGTTCCAGGTGTGACAGTGACTCCGTTTCCTCTTTTTTGGTCCACAAAATACAATGCAAAATAGAAAACGAAGAAAAAAAAAACCTTTACCACACTGAACTCTTACCTCACAGCCATACAGCTTAAATCTGAGGCCAAGCAGCTTGTAGTCAATCAGCTGATTTCCACGTAGCTCTGTGAAGGCTTTTTTAAAATCACTTAAAGATTCTTCAAACCTAACTCAGGGAGGTCATAGGGAAACAAATGATGCAGTCAAAGAGAAAGACATTTGTTTGCAAACTCATAAGGGAAACTTAAAAAAACATCTCCTAAATCTGCAATTATAACCGATTGTGACGATACAATGTAAGAAAGATTTTTGTTTCTATGGTTCTCATTTCTTTATAATTCCAGCACTTAAAACAAGTCTGCATCTTGTATCACAAGTGTCTTCAATAACTATTAGTTTTTCTAGGTATTTGTGATGGTATTTCTAACAAGAGACAGTCTAGAGGATTGTTTTTATAAACTAGGTTTTATAATGCATATTATATGTAATGTAAATGTGAGGAATTTTTTAAAGGAAAGCATCAACACCAGGCAGACTTACTTTTGCTGTTTGTAAAATGTTATCCCCCTTTGAAAAAAGGCTACAGCCAAGTGTTCATCCTTCCTGATGCTGTTGTCAAAAGCCTAAGGAAAAACAGGAGAATTCGGAAATAAGATAAAAGCTTCCAAATTAAAACAAACTGCGATTTCTGAGGAAATTCTCCCTGAATAATTCAAACTGTTTTGTTCTAATATCAGAAAAAAAACCGAGGTGTGTCTGAATATTAATGAAACGTACACTGTTTCTCAACTAGAATATTTTTTTTAAAATCAAAAAAGTCTCTGGTTTGTATTTCAAATATTTGAAATATTACTTAAGAATATTGCTGTTGGTTGTTTAGATTTACAGACCACAGCTTGTATGATACTAGTTTTAAGGAAATCTTTCAAGCACAGATGTGCAATAAATATATGAAATATTGTTTTAGAATTGTGATTCTTTCCACTGATAAATTGCAACAAGTAGTTATCGAGTGAGACTGCTGTTTTCTGCCCTGCAGGTTTACTTCCCCATTTTGAATGACTTGCATTTCAGCAACGACTGAAAGAAAAATGCGTTTGCAGAAGTATAGATTGTGCTTTTCATTCGTGATGGCAATACTGTTTATAACACATATTTTGTGAATTTCCGTGGGAGACCGATTTTGATACGTAAGGGATAATAAAAAATGAAAAACTAAACTGAATTGAGTGGAGACAGAATATGGGTACAAAATTATCTCTCTGTTTCGTGCAAAAACAGTACGTACACAGCCACTGGCAAGTAAACCTCTTATTGCCAGCAGCCTCAAGGTAGATTCCTGCCTTCTGCACTATCGAAAAGAAAAAGCGTACAGCGTATGCTCACCTTCTCTGCTGCATCCAGGTCTTTAGTAATCAAATAAAGGATGCCAATGTTGAAGTATATTTTGGAGTTTTTGTCCACGATATCAGAGAAGACTTTCAGAGCTGTAGCCCAATCCTTTCTGCCCACTGCGGCCGCTCCTTCATCCCACTGTCGGATGGTGTCCAACAGCGACATGGTGTCCGGGCTGTGATAAAAGCTCTTGTCCTCAGCAGGTCAGTGGCAGAGTCCTAATAACGGACAACAACAGCGGGAGCACATCCTCTTGCAGGGGCTGTGAGGCAAGAGTTCCAGGAAATGTTTCTACACTCGGGGCATACGCGCGGAGGAAAACCATTAGAGACCAGCAGACTCGTACCGCCTACCGCACTTTCCGTTCTCAAATTCGTGCAAATTCAGACAAACAGTGATGTGCTCTTCGTTGCACATGTGCAAAACGTTCCCGAGCTTTTGTTTCATTTCACCTGTTACACACCCCGTGTAACTGGAAGGACGTTTTAATCTCTCATCAGTTTTGCGTGTGGCAGCTAAAAAATAAAGGCTTTAAAGTAACCATTTTCCATTTGAACCTTTTTTTTTTAATAATTCTTTGGGTAGTATAGATTGCACCTGTCCCCACAAAGCTACCATATTAATGTGATCCAGGGAGATTATGGTCAGATACTTTGTTTCCTGTTTTGACCAAAGAGAAATCTTGTAGCTAACCATAAATGTCTAGGTGTTAGGCTAAAAGCTCTGACTTGACATGCTCTCTCACAGTTGCATTAGGACCTGTCCTCATTTTGATCATCATCAAGCACAAGTCAAATCCTGAGATTGACAATGCCTTAATGCACGTTATTGCCTTAATGCACGGAACTGTGCACGGAACTGTAGTACTGTGGCATCAGATTCCAAGGAGAAAAAGTATGGAATTCCTGCAGTTCCCCAGCCAGTTTCACAGCCACACAGCCATTGTGTTAGATGTAGCACCAGATTTCTTGCTGCCTGTTGCTAAGGGAGAAATACTGGCCCCATTTAGGGTTTCCATAGAATCACTGTGGAAACACAAGGGTAAGCCATAAACTGTACAGGAAACCTCCCAGACTGACAAAACAAACAGAGAACAACGGGTATGTGGCAAAACTAAAAAAAAACAAATACAGTATCAGTAATGCAAATCTTTGTATTGCTTTAGTGTATGCTCTCCATTTGTTGAATGATTATATCTGGTTATTTATGAAAATATTAACAGATAAGGGAGGCAGACAATCTTTTTTCTTGTAATGGTAATGGACAATAAATATTGACTCAGACTGCTCAGTAAAAAAGTAGGCTTGTATCGGTAAATGTACAATTAACTTCTTCACTATTGTTTTAATTATTGTTTCCTAGTTAAAAAAGTATTTTCTGGTCTCATTCACTGTAAACACTGTGTCTTTATTACCAGCAGTACCTACATTGTCCTATTTTACAAAGTAAGTCTTTGTCATGTTTTCTTTACCAACTAATGATAGTAATGAAGGTGTTTAAGTTTTCTTAATATTGTTTTTAGCTGTTTCACCTTACAGTAGTTCCAAAAATCTATGAAACGTTTTGTCTTTGTATGTATATGTACACCACCATGAGAATTTAAAACTAAAAAGTCCAAATGAGGTTAAGTGTACTGTACCTTTTGTCTTCTGCAGCAGGAAATTTAAACACAGCTACTCCCTTTATTTTCTTCCTTTCTGAGGCAATGGAAACGGTTGTGGTTCTTGGTGCAGATAAGGACCTGGGGCAGAGTGTCGTCCATGCCCTGCTCCAGGATGGCTCTTTCGCAGTGAGAGCAGCAGTCCAGGACACAGGGAGCCCTCTGGCCCAGCAGCTGCAGCAGGCTGGCTCTCAGATAGTCGCAGTCAACTTCAAGAGTGCTTCAGGGCTTCAGGAGGCCTTAAGGGGAGCTCAGAAATGTTTTGCTTCGACCACAACGGATTTTACAGACATGGATGCATTAAAGGTATTGGAGGTTGGGTCTCGGAGTGAGGGCTTGCCTTCTGAAACAGATCCCCTTATTTGTTATTCAGCTCATCCTGGTGACCCACACACCTGTCGGTTTTCAGTCCATCCCACCGTAATTAGATAATTGAAGCCTTAATTGATCTGAGACGTTGCTTCATTGCAATATTTGCTTTTTGTTTCTAGTCACAAGTTTGGGATTTTATTTCACTTACAAAATACATAGGTTAAAACTCCGACATGTTTAAGAGGCAGGAAAACAAAAACATCAAATTCATCTTTTTCTTATTATTAATTTATACTTTCTTATTTCATTGATTTACTGTTAAGTCAATTAAGGGTTTGATGATGGAACTGAGGGCTCAGTTCAAATTTAAAAACGAAAACATTTAATTTCAAAGGTAGCAACAGATGTTACAATAAAAATCCGAAATGTCTGAGAATAAAATTTCTACTTCATACCTTCAGTATATAACGCATCATATTTCCAGCGGTTCTGATCATGGTGTGTTTTCAGAATGAAATTCACCAGGGGTATTTGATCGCGGACGCTTGCAAACAACACGGACTAAAGCATGTGGTGTTTCAAGGGGGTCATCATGTGCACAGACGATATGGCTTCCCAGCCAGACACATGGATGCCAAGGCTTGTGTCAATGACTACATGAACGAGATCAGCCTGCCCAAGACTGAGCTCATCCTACCCTTTCTGTACGAGAGTTTCCTGACGACGTTCAAGCCCAAACCCGCGGGACCTAACTTCTACAAGCTAGGTAAGATGGAGCCTACTTAAAGGGGAACTGAGGTCTCAATTTCTCAGACCAGTTTTCAAATCTTGGGAACAAACTAAATTCAACTAAAACTGAGAACAGGAAGCAGTTTCTTAACCCAAGGGTGGCAGGAGTCTGGAGTGAGCTACCCAGCCAGGTTGATGAAATGGAAACCCAGGCATCTTTCAAGAAATGCCTGGACGAGACCCCCTGATTTGTTCGCTCATTTTATGTTCTCCTGTCCTCTTTCCTAACATGATTTCTTTTCTCTCAGACATTCCTGCAGGAGAAACCCCTCTGGATGCCATCAGTGTCAAGCATGTTGGTCTGATCGCAAGTGTATTACTGAAAAACTCCCACAAGTGGATTGGGAAAAGCTGTCCGCTATCTGCTGAGAGACTGACTGTTGACCAATATGCAACCACCTTAAATGAACACTTGCAACCCAGGCAGTTCAAAGATTCCAGAGTAAGCACACTAACACTCCTTTTTAATCCTCAATGGAATGACACAAATGGTACTGAAGTTATTCATTCTGAATTTCTATCTGTGTGTCTTCAGTTGCACACTTTGTTGCTGTATGAAATGGACAACTAGGGAAAGCTGCAGTTAGGCATTTAGTAGCGTCATTCTCTGGGTATTTGAGACATGCTTCCCCCAAGCAAGAATCTTCCAGACCAATTCACTTCAGTTCACTTCAAGCCACAGCCACTGTTTTGTCCTTATTTATTATCTAAACATGGCCTTTAGAAATGACAGGATATTGGCAAGATCATACGTGCCTGAATTTAACCTGGCTCAGCCCAGGTGCAGAAAGAGCAGGTCACTTTTGGTTTATGTACATGGGACGGGACAAAAAAAGCACAGTGTGCTAAGTGCGTGGTACAGAAACTGTGAACCCAAATATGGTAAAAAGCAAAACTGAAATTGTGTAGTATGAGATAGTTCCTTCCTGTGCTCAGTTCATTTTTAATACAGGACACATGTTGCTTTTTTGGCCGACTGGCTATGATTGATTAAATCCCTCAAACACTGATTGGGTTTGTATTCAGGTGTGTAAATTACCTTAAGTTTCGCAAATATTGTCTGTTTAAGTCCCAGTAGCAGCAAAACATATTTTAAGAAATTAGTTTAATATCCACATTCTTAATTTGATCTTCATTTAAGTTTGTTTTTGTCAGTGTTAGGATAGCTTTCCCTTATGTGATATACATAAGAAAGGATGCCAACAATAAGAGGATATTCAATCTATCTTGATTGTTTGGTAGTAAATGGGTTATGTAACAAATCCTTATACATAAAGAGATCAACAAATAAAATTGCACTAGTGTCATTGCATTAGAGGTCAGAGTAATAAAACTGGAATGAACAACTCTGCAATGTCAAATTAGAAAGGCTGAGTTGCAAGAAAGCAATGGATATAGGATCTGTTTGCTGTAATTAAACTATATTACTATTGTAGAAACTAATGCTTCTCTTAGGAGAGATCATCCAAAATGGAAACCTTTTAAGTCAAATTGACCTTTCTTTCCCTGCAGATATCTGTGAGAATGTTTGTGGAAAACTATAATGGAGCTGGGGGAGAGGACTTGGGCAACATGTTTGAATTCTGGAAAAAAGGAGCCCAGAAGACGAATGTAGCTTTAACGCACACTCTGTGTCCCGAAACTCAGAGGTTTTCTCAGTGGGTCTCTGAAAACAAAGATTTGATCATCAACAGGCTAGAACAGCATCCTCTGTGAAGTGTTTTCAGACCACATGGGATTGCCTTTTCAGTTTAGCAGAATAAGGTCTACAAAAATGCATAGATAGAAGCCCATCTATGGTGTATTTGCGAGGGTATAATCTGTGCCTGAAGCACACATATCTAAGATTTAAAGGAACACATAAATGCCATGTTGAGACTTTGACTGCTGAGCCTTTTCCAGGTGTCACAACATTGCCAAACCTTTGTGTTTCTTCTCTTCATTTTGCAACATAGAAATAATATTTACTTGTTCCTCTGTAGCAAATGTACACTGTCACAGTCCCCTGCTTAAACATATTCCAGATTTACCCATGCATTTACTTTTTGTTACATTCGACACTTAAAACAGCCTCGCTGATGGTATTCACAATGTCACAGCAAGCTTATGGTCAAGCAAAAATACTATGAATTTCACATTTAAATTTCAGTGTCAAAAAATCACTAGATAATATAACATCGGCAAATTGCTACCTTAGCTACATGAAATAATACATCCATACTGTTAGTTCAGTAGAATGTGTATAGCAATATTGCCAAAAGTATTATTTTTATTGTAAAAGTGATAATCTTTGCATGGTTGGTAAGAATTTAAACAGTGTTCTGAAATTACATAAAACCTGCTGTTGCCAGATTTACACTTTCAGTCTATAACCTATTCTTGAGTCTAGTAAGAGGACTCAATAGAACAAGTTGTTTATGCAGGGGTAAATACAGTATGCTGTAGGCCTTTCTGACCTTTGCACAATAAACATGCAATATAAATCCATTGAAAACAGTTTTTGAATGCTTAGAGTGGATTTTGTAACATCTCCAGGGATGCCAGAACCAGCAAAGATGATTTCAATTGATATATACTGTACAGTAGGAAATGAATGATTCAATCCCTCATCTTCTAAAGGTGTGGTAGCTTTCAACCATATACATATTTCTTTCTGGTAAATGAAAAAACAGGTAAAAAACATATACGATTATTTTCAATTAAAACATTTGTTTAAGAAATCATTATCTTTTCAGGAAAATTGTGATAGATTCCATGATAGAAGTGGGTTTTAAGAACTGGTACTGATTACTTTAGCTGCAAGTCTAAGGGGAAGGATTTCTATTCTTCTAAGTAAAGTTAAGGTGATCAAAAGACTGTAAAAATGGTTATTGGAGTGACTGAGGAGTATTGATGACCCTGATCTGATCCATTATTGAATAGAGATTTCACTCTATTACATTCATGGTTGGTCTGTGTGACCTGAAATAACATCATTATTAATTATTCATAAGCTAAGTCTTCTGCCCTATTCTTTGAGTTACGTTGGCTTGTTTCTGTGTAGACATAGTCCAAAAAGAATTATTCATTTCAATGTTCAATGTTCAGTTAAATATCCAGGCCAGACAAAGTTAGATGAGACTTGATATAAGGCTGCATGAGGAGACAGGCTGGAGTTTGGTTTGAATCCAGATTGCCTGTATTGCAGAATCTGCTAGTCATCACATCACTCAATGGCCCACATTGAGCAGTTACATTCTCTCTTAGATATCCTGTCATTAAGTTTGTGTTTTACGCAGAGACAAATATATTTATATTAAAGCTAGATTCCTCAAGAACAAGCGGACAATTTTCCATTATTACCAAATACCAGTAGTCCAAAAGGAGTGTAAAACAATTTTGTGATGCTTCAGTCTGCTGTGTGAGGACTTCAAATATGGATCTGTATTTTAAAAAAAACTATAACAAACCTGACAATGAAAAATTAGTCACATATGCAATGGATATTCAGAGCGTCATATACAAATCCAATCTGGATTTTCCTTAGAGTTGGAAGTAATTGAATTATCTTTCTACACAAGGAAGTAAAATACATTTTTGTGTACAGTTCACCATTTATATTTGCTAGAAGAACAACTGAAATATTGCAATCTAAGAACACTGAAAAATATTATCGTCGTCCATATATCCATGATCCATCACTGCTTCATTCAGAGGATATTCTTAACCCAGCAGATACAGGGAGCAAACTGGAAATAACACATAGGCAATGTAAAGAGGCCAATTAACATAGCCAGGATGTCTTTGGAAGGCAAGAGGAAACTGCAGCACCCAGAGAATACCTATACAAACCAGAGAAGGCACCCCAGGTGAGAATCTCCACGAAATTCTGAAGTGCACCCGGGCAGTAATGAAGACATGTATTAAGCAGCACTTGAAATATCAAGGAAGACTCATAAAGAAACCATACTGCCCAAAACTACTGCAGCATTCTCTGCTCATTTATAGTTTTGCTGGCCCTCCCTTTCAAAAACCTGCCTACAGTAACATTTTTCTCTGCCTTTTCCAAAAATGCTAATGATGAACACCAGCTAGCATCTTAGTTTCGCCTTCGGAAATACTGACAAGTTCTGAAAATTGGCAATCCCCAAATTGTCTTATTTGGAATGAAGAGATTCCAATGACTTTATCATCTCCCTCTAAATGGATTCCATCTGATCACTGGAGATCACTCTTTTGAGCCTCACTCTTTGAAAATACTGCTTGGTCTGGAGCAGCTCACTCTTGAGGTTAGTGCATGTGGAAACATTTAGAAATTTTGAACTCAATGCATGAAGATATTAACAATTCTACGAAAGCATTGAAATATGTTAAGTTTGATCTTTTGAAAATTGGAAAACCTGCTTTCATAAGGGTTTATTAAATTCAAATCTTATGTCTCTCACTTTTCACGATTTTTCAACAGATGAAAACTCTTGCACTACTTAAGTTTTTTTTTCAAACATTATATTAGATGCCTATATTTTAGAGAAAACTGCTATCAGCTATTATACCTTCTGAATTTAAATTAAAAGTGTAAAACAGAGTAAATCTTTTACAGATGTTTTGGTTATGTTTCATCATGAAAATGAAAAAAAAGACATTCTTGGAAGAACAGTTGTGAAATCAGGTGACCACAAATTGCTTTGTTCTCTTACTCTATGAATAATACTCTCTTACTCTGAATAATATCAAATGGGAAGTCAACATAGAAATGTATATTTTTTCGCACTTGCATAATGACATTATCAGGCTGTGTGCTAGAAACTGTTAAATAGAATCACTGTGTAGATCAGAACAGGACCCTTGTACATATGTAACCACAATGTCTTTGATGGCAATAGGTGAAATTCTTTCTTGACTTTAGGTGCACAAGATCTCACTGGTTTTATATCAGAAGGAAATTCTCCTGATTTGTCAAGATAATTATTGCTATCCACAATAAAATCATTTGTTCAAAAGAAGTCCAAAAAAGCCCTGTGATGATAAAACATTCAGATGTTTATCAAATTATCTTTGTTAAGTGTATTGAGAACCTCATATATTCATATTTTCTTTTGAACAACACATGAGTTTTTTTCTGCCCAAACAGAACTGCAATGTAGGACCCACTTCTATCAAGTGTAATTACTGAGATATGATCAGTTTGTGGTGCAAAGGTGTACATTAAAGACAGTTTCACAAAGTTATAGGATGTGTGAATTTTGTATATTTGTTTTTTGTATTCATATTCCTCTAGCAGCTGAGCTACAGTAACTGAATGTGCAGTTTCTTATAACCCAAAAATTGTAAATACTTTTCTTCATAGCCACCCAAAATAAGACTTTCTCCAGCTAGAACCTTCCCCTGGCAAATTAAGCAACATCTGTGTATGAAGCAACAGCCTGAGGCTCAACTTTGGCAATAACAAAATATTGGAGAAGAAACAAATACATTGATCGTAGTAATAACAACATACAACATGTCTGTGGAAGGGACAGAGGAAGTATATGTATGGTTTATACCACAATTGTTTTAACTTGAAAGTGCCAACCCATGGCTCAGCAAACAGATTTTAAGAAACAGAGATCTGGTGTAATGACAAATTCTGTATCTTAATATTATCTGGTGCTATCCTCCTGGTAATGCTTGTTGCCCATTACAAAAGGTAAGGCAGTTATAATAACATAATAATTAACTCACTGTTTTTACTTAGAATTCAAAATCACTATATATATACATAAAAAACTCATCCATCGTTAATTTGCAGCACACACGTGGTTGAAAAGTGTCAACAGCCTCTCTTTATTCCTAACCATCTTCAGAAAGCTACAAGTCATTCTTACTAGAAATTATACACCCTCCCATTAGTTAGTTGCTGTTCAACCAAAATCTACTGATACAAACTTATATGATAATACTTTATTATCTGATGTCTCATACATTTGTTTTTCATCCAAGCATTTCATTGCACAGAAAGGCTGTTATACCAGACAGTTATTCCACTTTGCAAGAAACTTTGTAGCACTGAACTAAAAAACATGGACAGAAGAATCTTGCTACTAGTACCAAAACCCATAACCTGCACAAAAGGTAAATTACTTGTAGTACTTTATTACAAATATACGTTTTAATATGCGCATTGTGAATTATGACCGAACAAGGATATTCAACCAATTTCAAGAACAAAGACGCCAAATAGTAAGAGCTTTGCTGTTCGATATCAAAGCTGTCATCATTTTCTGTAGATCGCTGTGCCCGTAAACACAATAAGCAATGCAACCGTGTAGCACGTCTTTCTCAAATGGCTGCTATGCGCGGTACTTATAAACCATCTTAACAGTCTGCGTCACAAATGCTGTGACGTTTAGTAGTGCTTATGACATCAACTGTATCGTAGAAACCGTTTCAAAAATAAATTAAAAAACGGGGCATCATTTGCCACTCTGTGGTACACTTTCGTTTGATGATGTTACAGGTGTGGCCAGCATCAGGATTTTAAGATTGCTTTTTTGTAAGTTGAACAGGAAGTGAGACTCCTATTTCTTTTGATTCAGGCTCAAATGTGTTAAAATAATTATGCTGCTTAAGTTGGTGAGATCGGAATTTAGCATGATAATAACTATAACTGTTCAAGTAAGTTTTAAAATTAATGTAGGGGTCCAACAGTTTGTTTTTATATGTATTCAACATTTGCCTCTTTCCAAAACATTTCGATACATTCTTCATTCTTTTATCACGATATACTGTCGTAATTATTGCCCACTTGTCAGTTTAGAGAAGTTGTGAGAAGTTCAGCGACCGTTACATTACAAAGGGTTTGAGCTGTGGTTGTGGTAATTTATCATCTTGCGATGTGTAATAAGACGTATACGAGTGTTAACTATCATCCTATCCTTGTACGATATAATATTTTAAATACAGTTATAAAAACATCATCGTTTGACGTCAACAGTTCGTAATCACCTGGACGATCCGCAAACCACAAACGATCCGCAAACACACAAACCAGGAAAATAAGAAACTGACATTATTTTTACATATTAACTGTTTTATTTTAAGCAATATCCACTAATTTATGTGTGTATACATCAGATTTCCAGATATTTCAATAGCGGAACATAGAAAATGCAAACTATTAAGGATATAAAGGATTGTTCAGCCGAGAACCCGGACGACAGGGAAAAATTAGTGCATACAGGTGCAAATACGGTGGTTCGGCGTATTGTAAGTTTTCTTGCCTTTTCTTGTTTTTGTTGTTTACCATCTCGAGTGAAACTTGTTTTGAAAAGTTTTGAAGGGGACTATTGCCACCTGAACCTTGCAGAGATACTCAGCTAGGATCACGGACAGTTCATTCAAAATGTACTCATGTCTAGATGGATGGATTATTAGTATACAATGCTTGACTGCCCTTACTGGTTAGTAATTGTAGTTGCCCACAAAAAAAAAAATGGAGAAATACACTGATGGTAGACTGCAGTTTCCCTCCTCATGTGGAATTGCACATCTCTCTTGAATCAGTGTACATGCAGTCACTGAGTTTTGCTACTGCTCTGTCCACTACAGCAATTGATACATATGTCCTATGCTTTAGTATATCAGTTATTGGACGCAGTGGAAACTGTTTCGGTATAAAATAACACTGGTTGTCTACCCTCGGATGAATGTGGGTGAGTGTTAAAACATGTTTGAATGTTTAATCTTGTGTTGGATGTGAAATTCCGATGCAGAACACAAAAACAATGAATAGAACCACGTATTTCTGAACATGAGATAACAGGATGGGAGACAGAAACCACTGTCACATTATTCGTTGACTTTGTGCTTACTTAATGACCTTACTTTTATTTTTCAGATTATTTTGCTATTAATGCTATTGTATTTTTCAAGCTTGTGAAAGAAAAGGAGTGTACCTGTAAGGAGAAATGTACAGGGACATCTAAGGGCAAACAGAGTGTAAGATAACTGTTTGGTTTTCATGTTTTGTGCAGAAGAAGTTAAAATAAAGAAAGCAGCAGCGACATTCGTACTTTTTTCACTAGCTTTAGAAAAATGGCAATAGTTGTAGAAGAAATCTGGATTGTATTCTAAAGCCTGTATCATTCTAACAAGTACAGCAGAGAAACAATAGGAGACAATCACTGATCACAGATACTGTACTCCTCCTTTGAATCTGAATTCAAAGGAACTGAATGAACGGACTACATAAAAGTAACATATGGGCAACATTATGAATGATCAGTGAACCCATCTTGCTCCTATTTGTGATTCAATAGTGGAACTGTGAAAGTCTTACAGTTTTCAGTTTGATCTTGCCTTTCTTTTGTCTAACAGTGTTTAACTCCTTTCTAAGGTAAAGCCAAAAAGAAGAGGTCTGCACATGACCAGTAAAGACATTGAACTCTCAGAACACAGCAGTGACAGTGAGGCGGGTGATCGCCAGTCTTGGAAAGCGAGGGAAGGGGTCATTAGAGAAGAGCTGAAGGTGATGAATGAAGAATATTGCAATCGAAAATTTAAAGAGCTCGAGGAGCGTTTCGCTCTGAAGCTCAAGATCCTTGAAGAAGATGTTGGGGCTTTCAAGGTTAGTGAATTCCACATATGGGTTTCTAAATCCACAAAATAATGTAAGGCTTTATTCAAATCTCCTTAAATTTATACACAATCCGTGTTTTTATCCCAGCAGCTGAGAATACAAAGCGCCAATGGCCGAAAGAGAACTTAATTGAATTGAAATGTTTTCAAGCTATCCATCAAGCTGAAGACTTGTGATCAATATTAATAAGCTTTGTAACCTCAGATTATCCAAGTGTTAGTGAATCTAAAGTTCTAAGGCTAGGTTGCCCCCCTGTCATCTTCCATGTGTTTCCAGAAGCAGATTGAGGATGCGAGCCCTCCCTACACGTTCACGTGTGCTGGGCATGGTGCCTCAACAATCACATGTCTCTCCATGCTTGAGCAACTGGAGACTGACAGGGTGAGTACTTCCAAAAAAACGTTTCCTCTGCTCTGCTCTGATTGACCAGATTGGAATTGAATGATTTCTAAAAAAGCTTCTTTAACAAGGCCCGTTCTTAAATGTTAATGTTGACTATAGCAGAAAGAAAGTCCAGTGTTTCTATAGCAAACCAAAGATGATCAGATCTAAATTTTGCTAAAAGGTTATGCATTTATTACTAATAGGGTGATTCATAGTTATGATACCAGGAAGGCATTTTTTATGATGTCTATGTTTGTGATAAATAAAGTCACATTAAACGGTTTCCTCCGTTCTCTACCTTTTTTTAAACGGACTGTAATGTCAGGTGAATGATATGATCCCTGCCGAGGAAAGTACCAGCTCTCTCCAGTCTGAGGATAGTACTGAAAAGAATGAAAAAACAAAGAGCAAAACATTCACCACCAGCTGGCATAAAAGATTGAGCTTCATGAAGTTGTGCTTGAAGAAAGAGTCTGTAAGTGGTCCTTTAACGCTTTTATTTGAGATAACAAGAATATAAATGTCCTCTGGTTTTAAAACCATCCAGCATTTAATTGCCTTTATTATGTGTGTCACTCAAGGTAACCTTTTTTATTAAAACAATATTAGATACATTCATAGAAGACAAAACATAAGGGACATGTTAAGGTTGTTACTGCAGATAAGATCAAATCAATTCTGTGGATTGTCCTAAATGCTATATTAACAAATTGCTGTGACTGTGTTTGTCAAATAATCAATTATTATGTCAATTAATGAAATATATTTCTTGCACAAGCATGATTTCCATTTAACAGTACGTTTTATATAATAAACTGATGACATGGCAGGTTATACCTGTGTTGTTGTTTTGCATTTTATTGTATCTTTAGTTATTCGCTATCCTCATAAGATAATTTGTTATTGTATCTAACTGATCCACCCAAAAGATTGCTTTAACAATTCTCAGTAAAGCCTGAATGCAAGGAAGTATTTTAGTGAAGCGCAGTTCAGGTTGGTTGAATTGTTTCATCAAGGGGCTGCACAGCTTTTTTTTCTGTCACAATTTCACCATCAAACTTCCTTTTATTCAGAGGAATGAACAAGCAAGAATGGAACAGAGCACTCAAAATAAGATGCAACTAATGATACATTTACATTGTATTTAAATGCAAGAAAACTGGCCTGTGGCAATACATTCAGATACAAAAGCCATAAAAACTTAGAAATAGTATTGTCCCAAAAGGAAAAAAAATCTTTCTACATTCTCTGGAGTCTCACATTTATTAGTTGAATTATGACTGGGAAAACCAAGCCCACATTTCTGTCTAATGGTTATCAAAGAATTAGTAGCTTTTTTGCCTATAAGGCATGCAGTTGTGTCATACACTGTGGTACGATGCAATGAAGGTTAATAATAATTCCTTCCACCTATATAGCAGTTTTTTGGACTCTCTACTTGTTTTTATGCCTCTTCCAAAGGATAGAACCTTTTTACTGTATAGTGTCCACATCACTATAGCTGCACATTAGGTCCCACACAGACAATAGGGTGAGCACCCCCTACTGGTCCCACTAACACCTCTTCCAGCAGCAAACTTAGCTTTCCCAGGAGGTCTCCCATCTAGGTACTGGCCAGACTCACACCTGCTTAGCTTCAGTGGGTTGCCAGTTATTAGTTGCAGGGTGATATGGCTGCTGGGCAGGTCTTGAAAGTTGATTCGAGGGGATCGGAAAACATTTCTAAAACCTTACACCTATCTAATATCCAAGCTTCTGCTTTCACCTGAGAAACGGTACTAATATTTTTATTTTTCTTTCTTCACTTTTAGAATACATTTTGCAAGCAATAGAACAGAGGGTTAATATAACTGTGCTTTTTGTCTCTCTTTCTCCATTTTTGGCAATTCACAACATACTGTATCAGAACATGAATGGGGTGAAAGTCAGTGATTTCCCTAACACTGCTGGGAGAACCAGCGTAGCAGACGATGAGGACAATGAAACACTCTCATGTTCTAGTGGAGGGAGAGGTGTTGTGTTCAAATTCAAATATCCGCTAGTGCAGAAGAAAAAGAAAGCTGCAAACTGCAAAAAAGAGGAGACCCAAACTGCAGAGCAATCCACTTCTGAGGATAAGAAAGCTAAAGACGAAATTCCAAAGACAAGGGATATATCGGCATCAGGAAAGAAAGGCTGCTGTGTACCTAGGTGTAGTTTGGAGCTATAATAAGGAGGCTTTTAAAATAAATAAATATTTTTAAATGATTTTTTTTCCTAAAAATGTCTCATTGTGCTTGATTAATTCCAGAATAAGTTAATCAGAAAATCAGAGGAAAAACACAGGATTTAATAATGTATATAATGTATCGTTCTCACATTACAGGCAATAACTTGCCATTGTCAAGTGCCACACCCTTTTGTATGAAAGCAACATTTGTCCACCTGTAAAAGGTGGAGTAAAGAAAGGAGGCCCAAATGTTCTGCAAAACTATACCAAGAGCACTGAAAAGAAAGAATGTTCTTGAGCTGTACCTTACAAAACAAAAAAAAGCAAAGGAAAAGATCGAAAGAGCATTTTGAGCGAGAAAAACACCCCAGCGTTACTCTCTTCACACAAATGAATCTTACAGTATATTTTAATTTACAATCGTGGAACTTGTTTTTTTACAATTTTTTTAAAAGTAACTCCCGTCTTTTAGAGCGGCTGATTTTCACCCTGACACATTTCTCCAAAACAGAAGACGCAAGGTAAGTTAATAAGGGCAGAGCCGTGGAGATGATAATACATTTAATAAAAGTTAAGAAACATCTAAATTTGTGTGGTTATTAATGGAGATAACCTGTTAACCAAAGGCAAACAAAAAAAACAGGTGGTGCGGGTATGTTTCAGTTTCAAGTTATTTCTTTTAATATATATTTTTAAAATTATTTTTATTGACAGACAATATAGGAGTTGTACACTCCAAATATCTTGAGAATCGGAGGAAATAAGTGATTTCCTGTTGTTAGAATTATACATTCAGTTTCTTTTTTTTGTTTGTTATAACATTTCTTGTTTATGCAATAAAAAGTGGAAAGAAAAACAGTATTAAGTTATTTTGGTGTATAAAATCAGATTAAAAATAAACACTGGTTATAACATAGTGCTCATATATGGTCATTTGCAGATAAAATTCAGTGAGATTTAATTTGCTTTGTTATCTGTTTTTTTATGTTTCTGTTTATAAATACAAATTGAGTTGCTTTCAAATTTATATTTAGTCAAATTAATAACTAAATGGGAGCTAAAATTAAAATTAATTATTCTCTAATGTCTGTCTAATGTACTAAAGCATTTGTACTAAAACATCCCTGTACATTTTTTCCATAGCTAGAAGCCACTGAACAGAAAGACAAATTGGAAATTGGAAACATGTCCATATACCGCGTCTTGTGGAAGCAGAACAAAATAGTTTCTGTACTATATTTTATTCTTTGTGCATTTTGTATGACAGTGGACGGAGGTCTTGTGGTCAACTGTTCTGCCCAGAACTACCCAAACACTTCCTGCCTAATTCCTCCAACCACAGCTACCCTGGACCTGTCTCACAACAACATTGAGAAAATAGAGGAGCAGGACTTCACCGAAGTCAAAGGACTGAGGAAGCTCTACCTGCAATTCAATCAAATTAGCTTTATAGATCACAGGGCCTTTGAAGACAACCCAGAGCTTGAGTACTTGGACATTTCAAACAACTATCTTCTTGAAGGTTCTGTCCTTCCCTTTAAAAACCTGGTTGCATTGAACTACCTGGACATCTCCAACAACATTGGTGATAAAATCCAGCTGGGACCACAGGTTAGCCTTCTGAAACACCTCCAGGTTTTGAAGCTTGGTAATCCTCAAATCATCTCTTTAGGAAAGAACATCTTTCAAGGATTGGGCAGTCTCCATCTCAAGGAATTCCACCTGATCACTGGAGATCTCGATGAGTATGAGCACTCTTTGAAAATCCTATATGGTCTGGAAAAACTCACTCTGGAGGTGAATATTTGGCATGATTTGGAACTGCTTCAGCACATGTTTCAAGACATCAAAAACGCAACCAGGACGTTACAACTAAAGAATGCTGATCTGGTTAGGGGTGGGACATTTGTATCTTTATTTTCCACATTTGATGATTCAGAATTGAGATCCATTGCTTTCCAGAATATTTCTATGAACGATGAATTTGTTACATCTTTGTTCAACACTGTGGGCAAAGCAAACCTTGAAGAGATCTCCTTTGATTTGATTCATTTTGATGCTATAGGACACTGGAAAGTTGATATTACACATTTTCAGGATATACACTTAAGAAGGTTATTTATTAGACATATATATAATCCGAACTTCTACAGGTTTACTTCCCTGGAGTTCATGGTGGAGTTTTTCAAACCCCTTATCGAGGTATCAATTGTGAATGCTTCTGTTTTTTACATTCCGTGCGCAATAGCTGATGTTATGCAATCACTGGAATTTTTAGAGGTGTCCTATAATTTGCTCCATGAATATACCTTGTTTCCAAATTGTCATAGACCATTACCTGGTTTGCGTTCATTGGTGGTTGACAGAAATAATTTTGGAGACTTGAAGAAACTTGCTGCAATGACCTCTCATATGGAACAGCTGGTGAATGTGTCTGCAGCTTTTAACACATTAGACTTCAGTTCCAAAGAACCATGCCCTTGGACTCCAACCATTAAATTTTTGAACTTGAGGGGTAACCACCTCTCCAGTAATGTATTTATGTGCTTGCCAAATTCAATAGAAATCTTGGATCTGAGCCTCAACAACATCACTATAATAGCCAATCTTGAAAAGATGCAGTATTTAACCCAACTCTACCTTTCTGGCAATAATATACTTTCAATAGACCACCTACCTCCCTTGACTTATCTGACAATATTGCATGTTGATAAAAACAAAATAAATGCAGTTGACATTGCAACTCTGAAAGCCTTAAACCTCACTGAGTTAAAACTTAGTTACAACCCCTTTGATTGTTATTGTAACATAAATAATCTCTGCGAGTATTTTGTTGGGTCATTAACCAGAATAGAGGAGTGGCCAGAAGGATACAAATGTGAGATTCCCCTGTCTTTAAGAGGCTCAGAAATCTGCCTTCAGGACCTTTCCTTTGTGCAGTGTAATCCTGGCATGCTTGCAGGCGTAGTTGTGGCCTGTGTAGCTGTTCTTGTGGCTTTGTGTATTTGTATTTGCATAAGATATAATGGACCATGGTACATAAAAACTATCTGGATATGGATCAGGGCTAAAAAAGCTCCAGATATTGACCTTGGGGAAAGAAACTTAGAATATCATGCTTTTCTATCCTATAGTGAACAGGACTCTACATGGGTGATGAACAATCTTCTGAAACAGCTGGAATCAGACGATCCACCCTACCGTATTTGTATCCATGAACGTGACTTCACACCTGGAAAGGCTATAATTGCCAATATCATTGACTGCATCTCCAAAAGTTACAAGACGGTTTTTGTGCTGTCTAAGAACTTTGTGCAGAGCGAGTGGTGCCACTACGAGTTCTTCCTGGCTCAGCACCGGGTGTTTGAAGAGAGGAGGGACTCTCTGATCCTCCTGCTCCTCGAGCCCATTCCGGCCAATTCCATTCCCGACCGTTTCTGCAAGCTGCGCAAAATGATGAACAAGAGCACTTACCTGGAGTGGCCTCCGGATGAAGCCTGCCAGTCCATGTTCTGGAAGCGACTGAAGGCTGTTCTGAATCTTGAGGTCAAAGCACCCAGTCTTCAAGGAAACCCAGGAAAGTGACTCCCCTGTCGTTTAATGACTTTTCCATATTGCCAGAACCTTCGTGCTTCAAGTGCCGTTCTCACTCAAGTTTGGTTCAGTGTGCTGCCACCTGCTAACTACCTGCTGAAAGTCTAAGCCTCCCCCCTGACTCACCCAGCATCTTCACAGTCCCCCGGACTCTCTTGTCGCAGTGGGAACTATGTCTGGGGGCCACAGCTCGCACCCGTGCTGTATAACACGCTGAGGCAGAACAGGCTGGACACCCAACGTTTTTTGACACTGGACTGTAAAAAGGCACTGTCCTTCTGTTAAACTGAGGTCCTGACTCTCTGTGGTCATTAAAAATCCCAGGGAATTTCTCGAAAAGAGTGGGGGTGTTCTCCTCAGTGTCCTGGCCAAATTTCCCCCTGGCCTTTACCAATCATGACCTCCTAATAATCCCCATCTCTGAACAGTCTGCTGTCCTTCCCACTGATAGCTAATGTGTGGGATGTACTGGTGCACTTTGTATTATTATTATTATTATTATTATTATTATTATTATTATTATTATTATTATTATTATTAGTAGTAGTAGTAGTAGTAGTAGTAGTAGTATTGAGCTATGTGTCAGCTTCACTTTTCTCTATACTCCAAGCATAGAATTATACTTTTAACTGACCCTCTACCACCATTTCTTAATAACTTCACACATTCTGTTGTTATATTGGCAATATTTTGAGAGTGCCAATTTGAAATTTTTCAATAAATCCAGACTTCTCCTCATCCAGGTGGGGGCTACACATTGGTGGTGGAGGGGAGTCCCCACTACATGTACAGTACAGTGCTTTGAGTTACTTATCCAGAAAAGCGCTATATATGTGTAAGCATATTATAACTGAAGCATGCCACATATTACTCATCATTTCAGGCCTATTATTAGCTATTTTAGCAGAGGAGACCAGTCATAGATGATGTTTGATAGTGTGTTCTTTTATTAGACGACACAAGGTTCTACTGGGTATAGGAATCAACCCCATTTATTTTAAAGATCACAGCTTTTTGGGAAAAAAATCGTTTTTTAAAATCCATAATATTAAGGATGATATCACAGGATCAAATACTAGATATAAATCTCCCTCTGATCTGATTTTAGATTTTAGATTATAATTACTGTACATTGTCCTTTCAATACTATATGGGTAAGCCAAGTATGGTTGCTTGCATGATGCACAATATAAATGTGTGATGTTACTGCTTGATTTAGTTTGCAGTTATGAAATTCAAAGTAATTCAGATGCATTATACCCTTGAATTGTATTGCTCATATACTGTAATGTCATGCTCAAGAAAAGGGGTTGTCAGAGTGAAAATGGGAGTGTCTCTGAGAGAGGAGGGTATAGTTAATATTTTATTTTCCCAGGACAACCCAGAGCTTGAATCTGATAATTAAATCAGTATTCTCTTGTCACTATCACAAAATGATACTTTTCAGAAAGCCTGGAATAAACGGAATCCTAGCAGCATACTATAACACAAGTCTGTGCTTGCTCCTAATGTTTTACTTGCTTCTAACCTTCAAAATGTTGTGAAAGAGTTGTTTTTCATCCTGTTAACATTGCTGACTCTCTGCTCAGTGGCAGAGAGAGAGGGAGTTGTGGAGAAAAGCTAATGCATATGTCTATCTTTTCCAGGCTTGATTATTGTATTATATTCAGTGTTTGCTGGTGTTGCTGCCAACAGGATATGTTCAGATCTCAGCTAATCTGATCTTAACTAAAACTAAAATCCACGAGCATCTATCTTTTTTTTTAGCTTTCTTGCATTGGCTCTTGCGGAATTCAGAATGAAAAAAATACAGCTGGTCACTTGAGTGATTTAGCTTCTGTCTACATCAATGAACTGTTCACTCCCAACACAGCTATGTATTGCTCACACCCTCCTCCAAAAACAATGCTTTCAACACCTGAGACCTTGCTGTCTGTTCTGTTGCTCCAAGGCTGTGAAATGATCGCCCAGCTCATGTCTTATCTTGCACGTCAGCACTTTCAAATCCTGTTTCAAAGTTATTTTTATCTCTGTTTTAATTCTGTTGAATGTACAGAGTATATGCTTTAAGGTGTGATTGTTTTGTTCCAAAACGCTTTGTTAATATGTATCATGAAAAGTACTATTGAAAGTAAACATCATGAATGCAATTATTTTAAACTGGTGGGTTTGTGTATTATGGTAATCAAAGCTTAAAGTGATGATTGGGCCAATAATGTTTTCAGAAAGTCTCACCTTTGTCTCCTGTTTATTTCCATATTAATCTGATAATATTTTTATCAAAAATGCAAAATCTGTATTGGGTGTCAATCGTTTTATTCAGTTATTGCTTGTTTTAGCATGCTTTATAAAGTACGATTATAAACTAGTATACTTATTTATTACTAATTTAAAAATACGACAGATTGTTACAAACAAAAATAACATCTGACTTGTTTACATTTTTAAAAGCCAAGAGCGACAGTTCAGTACTTTCATTTTAATCTGAAGGCCTTCGCGTTTGGCAAATGCAGTTTTAGGATTACAGATTGACCCTCCGCAGATCCCGTAGAAGCCGATATCATCAAGGTTGGGGCAGGGGGAGCTGTTGACATTTGTAATGTAGGAAGGGCGATCGGTTCAGTGGCGCTCCAGAAGCAATAAACATTAAACGCCGTTAACAGGTAATTTGCGTTATTCCGCGCTTCTTCTTTGTGCCTCAAACAGTATATGTGAAATTAAGATCACCCCAGTTTCTGTTCTAGAACTTTAAAGTGTTTGCATTTAAGATATTGTTATTTAGCGGTGTCTGGTAAAGTAATTTTATTGATCATTTACTGGAAGTCGGAGCTTCCGAGTGTTGTGGTTGAAGCAAACTTATTGGAAATTATTTTCAAAAATGCACATTTTGTTTCTGTTACTGTATCGTTTGATAAGACTACCGCTGTCCTGCTTGGGCAACAAGGTCGTTTTAAAAACGCCACAATGGTATTTAACTTGATGGTACAACTGCTGTTGCTAAACGTTTATATTTTTGGGAACAGGGTGAAGAGCTCAGGTGTACCATTACAAGAGGCAGGCGCTACAGTTTTAATCAGTTTTTGGAAGCACACCATAAACACGGAAATAAAATCGCACTTACACTTTTGTTTTTCTGACGTATAATCTGGTGTTCTGAATAATGTTAGCTGTTTGTGTTTTTATTTAAGCAATCATTTGACCCTAAAGAAATCATTATCATGACAAACATTACGGGCTCGTATTCTAATGCATGCCGATAGTAAGCTAAGATCAGTTTCGTAGTAGTGTCAATTTCTTGTCATTTTTACGTACCTGTGCTTAGAGGTTCCACAAATTGCCTCTCACAGTTGAGTGGTCATCACTGAAATGATATGCACAATAATACAGTCTACAACAGGACTGTCTTGGAGGCCGTTTATCTCCACGTCCCTTGAATTGAGAGAAATGACTAACTTTGCCCAACTTTGTTAATAACGACCTGTTTTTGAACCACTGAGAGCTGATTGGAAATGAAGCATTGCAGACAGAAGCCAGGACCGAGATTAACAACCCTGGTGTACAGGCAGAGGTCAGCTAGTACCGTGTGTGTATTTTTAGCTGTCTTTACAAAGTAAAGAGTCATTGGGTGCTACCTGTTTTGTTAGGAGTTGTAGTTCATAAAGACAGCTGTAGTACATGCACAAAGAATCCATTGTGTTTTTAACTTTTACAAAGTTAAAGACTTTGTAACAGTTATAGACTTTGGCACCTTTACATTTGGGCGGTATGAGAGGAAACTCGAACGACTTCATTGTCTGTTCTGATTAATATTGTGCTTTAAAGGGGAACGAGATATTCCGTTCATTTGTAGGAGTACATCTTACATGACTGCTGTGTGGGTTTTTTTCTCTTTATTCCACTCATTATTGTTGGATTAGAAAATTCCTCTGATGCTATAATTAAGCAAAATCAGAACAAGCCCAATACTGCCTCCGATTCTCTCAGAATAAGAACCTGACGTCATTGTAAACATGCCTTTGGTTCCTTTAGTGAAAACAATTATTTTGAAATGAAATATGCTATTGTCTTTTGATTGTCATTGTTATTGTATATTTTAATGTTCATGAGAAAAATATCTCGTGAGGCACAGGTATGTGGAGTCTGCTTCTGCTTTCATAATTCTGACAAATGTATACACACTGCCGTACAAGGGACTTGGACATCTTAATGATAAGGATTAGGAATTTCAAATATAAGCTTCTTATAAGCACAAACTGTTTGCTCACTGCTTTCATTAAACCTTCGTTAAATCGTTAATGTAATGTGTTTCTTGTTTTTACCATTATTTTTTCCATCCTCCGTATTAATGTAATAGGATGGTCTACTTTGAAATACAGATCTGTCAGGATTAACATCTAAAACAAAGTGGCAAAAATATCAGGTCTCCATGGACCTGCCAGCAGCTGTATCGCTCTGCAACCCACAACTGTCATTGAAGCTAAGCAGTTTAGTCTGGCCAGTACCTGGATTGGAGACCTCTTGGGAAAGCTAAGGTTGCTGCTGGAAGAGGTGTTAGTGGAGCCAGCAGGGGGCGCTCACCCTGTGGTCTATGTGAGTCCTAATGCCCCAGTACAGTGATGGGGACTCTATACTGTAAAAAAGGCATTGTCCTGCAGATGAGACAAAAAACCAAGGTCCTGACTCTCCATGGGCATTACAAATCCCTTGAAAAGAGTAGCAGTATTTACCCAGGTGTACTGGCCAAATTCCCCCCTGGCCTTTGCCAATCATGGCCTCCTAATCATCCCCATCTATCAGTTGGGTTCATCATGCTCTCCTCCCCACTGAGAGCTGGTGTGTGGTCAGCGTACTGGTGCACTTTGGCAGCCTTCACATCATTCAGGTGGTGGTGGAGGGGAGTCCACATTTCTTGTCAAGTGCTTTGAGTGGAGTGTCCAGAAAAAGCACAGTAGAAGTGTGAGCACTATTATTATAATTGCTTCTGCTTGATGAAATTGATGTATTGTGTGGGACAATGGAAGATGGAAAAGGTCTGTATTTTAATGTAGCAAGATTTCTTAAGACTTTTTGAATGTTGTTGGAAAGGTGAACTAGTATGGGGAATACGTCCAGTGACCGGGTCTTGGGAGATCGCCATGGGGCAAAATCCCACCGTCCAGATGGGGTTACCAGTAGCCAGAAAGAGCAGGAACCAAGCAAAATCATGGTGGACAGCACCGACGACCCCAACATCTTCAACACTCACACTCTGGAGTCAAAGGTATTTAACACAAGCATGGGCTGATGGTGGTAAGTATGCATTCTGCTTGGACTGTCTCTTTGCACAGCATTGAACTTGCTCAATAAAGCATCCGTTGACAAGGCTGTGCTGTGCTGTTTATTACTGCTGTGTATCAACCACTTAAATCCAAGTGTTCATGGAGATTCAGAATGAAAGCCACAGCTGACCAAGCAGTGATAGTTGTATGTTACAGTCTCATCCATGTTATCACAAAGACATTCAACATTGTTGAACCAAATGAAAGAACACCGCATGCTTGAACAGCCAAGCAATGATTTAATCTCTGTCCTCAGTAATATGACTAAATACTTTATTATCCTATATACTGTATTTTGGTAACCATGTAGAGGTTGAAGGGCAGCACAGTAGCGCATTGGTTAGTTTTGCTGCCCCAAAGCAAGAGGTCCTGGGTTCAATTCCGGGCTTGGGATCCATCTGTGTTCATATTGTTTGTATGTTCTTCTTGTGTTTGTGTGGGTTTCCTCTGGTTTATAAACAGTACCGGTGGTTTCATTTACTTTTGGTGTGTGTTTGTGTGCATGTGTTGGTGTCTGTGTGTCCGCCTTGTGATGGACAGGCGCACCATCCAGGGTGTTGACCTAGGTGTTACCTCCCTGTGGCCTGATCTTGTCAAACCTCAGAAGCTAAGCATAGCCAGCACTAGTCAGCAGTGTGGTGGGAAACCTCAGAGGGTAAGCTGGTTGCTTCTGTGGGTGGTGGTTTTGAACCAGGAGGAGGTACATTTCCCTCTGTACTAGAATCTCGCATTCGGTACCTCAATATGGTTGACAGTTGGACTGCTTTGTGGAGGAGATCCCATCGAATACAATGTTGGGACCTCTTCTTAGTTACTTGGCCATTAATGATCCCATAGGAATATTTGTAAAAGTAGTGGTGCTTACCCTTGTATCCTGGCACAAATTCTGCTCAGAGGTTTCACAATCTGGCCTACTTACTTCTTAATTCAATTGCTGAAGTAATTTCTTGCTTCTGTGTCTGACCTAATGTGGAGTGGGGCCGCTGGCACTTGATGTCTCCAACATATCACCAAGCTGGGTACTGCGCTTGGGTAATAGATAAAGTGGGTCTCCTATATAAGTGCTTTGGGATGCTTTGTGTTAAAAAGGGCCAGATAAATATGCTGTATGTATTATTAATGAAAACATGTTTAACAAAAAATGTTTGCCCTTGCATGCTGTATTTATTGTCTGTTTTGTGTTAAGTTTGTTATGAATGTATAAAGTCATTGTTACATAAAATGTAACCTATTTTTAACACGATATTATACTGCCTGTAGCGCTGTTAAGGAGTTGTAAATTGGTCAGAGATATTCACTGCCTGCATAACGTAAATATTTTGAAAATATCACCGTTTATGCAGCTGGAGTGATGACTGGGCTGCTTTGTATATATTTCACTGACCACAGTAACCTTTTATGTAACACATACCCTGTTTGTCTTCTTTAATTGTTCTATTCCCCGTTCGCTTTATAAACCTTTTTTTAGTCCTTTTACACTGTGATTTTCGGCAAACAGGGCCCAGTAATGTTGTAGTGCCTGTATAGCACGTATAGCGGTGAAACACATGAAGAGTTCATGGTTGAGGTCTGCTTATACCACGCAGTGCCACAGGTGGGATGGAAATATCTCTGCTTAGAGTACTTTGGATGGCAGCTCACGGTTTTATTTATTCAGTTTATTTAAATGTTTCAGCCTTCTGGAGAAAAGGAGTTTATGCACTTCACGCCTGACCTCGAAGAGCACATGAAGCTGGGATCACAAGCACGACCCACTGTGATCCGCTGGGCAGGGGGTGGAAAGGAAGTGTACATCGCTGGCTCCTTTAATAACTGGAGCACCAAGATCCCGCTCAACAAAAGGTAAGTTGTTGAATTTCATAGCTGAGTTATTGTCACACCTGGCTGAATGATAATAAAGGGAGACTAATATGGGCGTCTCTGTTATACAGAGTCTTATCTGTTAAAACAAAACTTAAATTACTCAGTAATGGCTATCAGTCTGGTACAAAGACCTTATAAAAGCATTGAATAGCGAGGGATGTTTAACCCAGATTGTTAGGGCAGCATTGGCTACTGTTTAAAATGTAACATTTTATTGTCTCCACGCGGCATAATCAGGAAAGGATGACCTCTTTGTCCTAGATATCAACAGTCTGAGCCTGGCTCATCTTGATAGCCAGCTGGCATTCCTTAAATAACGCCCACACTGGCAGCGACACTCAAGTAACTGTGCAATTGGTTCGGGCACCTCTGGGAGAAGAGTTGGGATTAGGTAGCCTGGGTCCTCTGACATTCCAGTTGAACCAGCAACCCTTGAAACTTCCCAGGTGCTTGCAGGCTTGTGGCCACACTGTCAGGAGACCTGGGTCTCATCCAATCAGTGCTCATTCTCCTCAGTCTTGCTGTGGACTAATAATGAATGACTTGATGGGTCAAGGGACTGGAGTACCCCATCTGTACTTCCCTTTTTATCCTCCTTGTGTGGGTCCAGGGTTTGCATCTGTGAGCCGAGATGTCAAGATGCAGACAATTAGCCGCTTCCGTTTTGGGTGGGTGTGTATTGAGCAATTGCAAGGGCAACAAATTGCTACGCGAGCAATTTGTAATCTGGAGTTTTAGAAAAAAGGAGGATAATTTGGGGACGTGCCAATGCAGTCAAGTGAGTGAGATGATCACTGATTTCTTCCCTTTTTATTTCCAGCCATAATGACTTTGTAGCAATCCTTGATCTGCCAGAAGGGGAGCACCAGTACAAGTTCTATGTAGATGGGCAGTGGGTCCATGATCCCTCTGAGGTAAAAACACAATTTGAGTTTTCACTGGTGATGTCGTTCACCGTTACGTTATGTTTTAAGCAGTGAGTTTTTTTTTATTTCAGCCGGTGGTCACTAGTCAGATGGGAACCATTAACAATTTGATCCAGGTGAAGAAATCTGATTTTGAGGTATTTGATGCCCTGAAGGTAGATTCACTAGAGTCTTCAGATACATCAGGTAAGCAAGGTCCTGCAATGTATTTCTACTGTAATCAGATTATATTTTAATTCTAGCTATTAATATAAAATAAGAAGCGCAAGTACAGTTCTTATTACGCCATTATTTATTTCTGAATGTTTTGTACCAAATGGAACATAGTTTGGCAAACAGCAGAAGAATTCCTATATAGAAAATGTGGTCTAACTGAATATGGATGTTGTACACAGATCTCTCCAGCTCTCCTCCAGGCCCTTATGGCCAGGAGTTGTACGCATTTCGTCCTGAAGAGCGCTTCAAGGCTCCTCCCATTCTGCCTCCGCATCTCCTCCAGGTCATCCTCAACAAGGACACCAACATCTCCGTGAGTCTCACTTTTCCCCTCCGCCAGAGCGCTCTTATTCTGTCAGCGGGAGCTGTGTTTCTCAGCCATTGGGCTGTGGCTCAGCAGAGCGTCTTCTGACTTGAACTGGTGTGCCGCAGCATTTTAGAAATGTCATGTACGAGAAACATAAACAAAACAAAAATGTGTATTGGATATATGGAGTAACAGATGTGTCGCTTTGATGTTCGGTCTATACATGCAAAACCGAGGCTCTGAGACCACTCACGTGGAAGTCATTTATGGTGTGCGTTACGTTTCAGTTTGGCACACATACAAAATAAAAAATGGAGAACATCCGAGTAATGTTTCTGTCATCAGATATTGTCAGGGCAGGGTGACAGTGCACTTGCAAGGCAAACTCAGATTAAATGTTGAAATATCAGTTTAGAATGTTGTGCTAGGGGTGGTGATATGTCTTTGTGTGTGTTCGAGTTGGGCGATGTAGGTTGCAACATTTTTTCTGTTTACTGAGGTGTAACATGGGGTGAAAAACGTTGAGCAACTCTGACCCAGAGCTGTCACATTCTCTATCAAATCCCAAATGGGTCTTTTCACACTGGCACACTCAAATGGAGCCAAGCCTTCACAGTTCAGTGTGACTCAAACCAAGCAGGAACTGAGCCAAGTGACCCTGGTCTCACAAGCTGTCTAGCACTGGCACAGGACCAAGCAGAGCAGGGGAAGGGTTAGATCATCATTTTGACTGCAAGTGCACAGATCTCTGTACACAGGCATTTAACCAGCATTTGCAAAAAACAATAGTAGAAAATGTGATCAAATTATTTTTTGCAGTGTTATATTTGACCTTTAAACTTGCTACTTAAGGCAAAATCTAACTACTTTTATTTAGGAACTTGAAGATCAAGTTATATTGAACTTGAGTAATGCCTAGTTTGATGCACTGTCGTCAGTGCAGTTAAAGACTAAACACAGCAAAGATGTCAGTTCGTGATATGGAATTTTTCATTTGCTAGTGCCATCAGAATTCGGGGTTATTTTTTCTTCCATTTACTTTCATTGAGTTTAGGCTTGAGAGTGAATCAACACAGTGATTTGAATAGTGCCTGAGCTTTATGTTCAAATAAAAACGCCACTACTGTTAGCCAGTGTGTGAATGGGTAACGTTGCCAAACAAAAAAAGTTTTTCAAGTTTTTCATCTTTGCCAAATTTTTAGAACTTAAATTTGGTTTTCAGTGTCTGTCTCCTGGGCTCTACGTGTAATTTTCCAAGTACATTTCTGAAGGAATCCTAAAACTCATAATGTACTGAACATGACGTGCTGTATCTTAACCAGCTAAAGTAAAAAGCAAAGCAACCACTGGGAATATTTTTTGATACTCTCTCACCTCCTTTGTATTACACTATAGAATGAGGGTACTCAATAATATACAGTGTACTCCATTTTGCCTACATTGGTTTGCCTTTGTGGCATGATGTACTGTATGTGTTGTTTTCCATTTTACACACTTCAGCACAACATGATTTCATGTCCGCTTTTCAGAAATAAAGAACCAAACTGAATATATGGAGAAACACCTGGCTTGGGCAGAGAAATGGTGTGCTGTTTGCCGCAAAGATGACATGAAGTATTGTCTGAAAATGAATTGCACCTCAGTATCATAATCTTTCCCCTTGAGATTTTGTAGGCATGCTTGCAAACATAAATCTAAACTCCTTTAAGCCACTCCTTTAAGGCAATTAGCCCTTTTCTAACATTTTTTAGATCACATTAGGCACGAAAATAATGTAAACTCTTCTTTGCCTATATACATGCAGCAGTTATCACCTAGCAAGCTGTTTCATTGAATGTAAATTCTGTATTTTTCAGTGTGATCCTGCCTTGCTGCCTGAACCAAACCATGTGATGCTCAATCACTTGTATGCACTTTCAATAAAGGTGAGTTTGACCTGGGAAGTGTTAGATATTGGGAAATGTTTAATTTCTGTGTTGTGAAGTTTGTGAGTAGCAGTAACAGGCAGCTATGATTGAATTTTCCATTCTTTTTCAGATGTAGGGTTTCTTTCAATATAACAGTATTATCAATCTAGATGTACAGTAAAAGAGGAGTTCTATTTCTATTGTTGGTATACTTTCAAAATGTTTACTGTCTTTGAACATTTTGTCTTTCTTGTAGGACGGAGTGATGGTGCTTAGTGCTACACATAGGTACAAGAAGAAGTATGTAACATCTTTACTCTACAAGCCCATCTGAAGGGTCTTAATGAGTTTAGCATGTTCCTGTTTTTCACTATCACTCATTTGCTGAGATTGCACTGAAACAGTTTACAAAACGGACCGGAGGCCTGCCAAAGCCCATTTTCCAAGAGATTCTATTGTCTCTTAATTCCGTATGACCCGTGAAAATATAATATGACCCGTTAAAACAAATATATAGCCATTGATGGTGTGCACATAATTACATTTTCCGTAAATGTACTCCACTCCATAATGGCTTTTGGTCCACAAAACCTTAATCTATTGAAAATGTTAAAAATCCACACCTCAACTTGAATTTGGTACATTTATTCTGTCTTTTGATTTCCAGAAAAAAAACAACTAAGTTTTGCATGGTTTTTCTTTTTGTAATTAAGCTCTTTCAAGTATCATTAGCTCAAATGACCATGGCAGAGATGAGCTATTGCCTTTGTGACAATGCTGCAGCACTTTACCTGTGCATTTATTGATGCTGTGAGTAGGAATATTAATAAGCTTTTAACTATGCAGAAGACAAATCCTGTACTGTATTGTAGGCTATTTGAATATTGCTTGGTCTCAGTTAGATTTAGTTGCAGTGATAGTGATTTTTCTTGTTTTATATATTTACAAATACGAATGTATTTATGTATTACATATTTATGTATAACACCATGCTGTTTTTATTTGAAAATCTAAAATGCAGCTCTGATTAGGAAAACCTCAGGATTATGTTTTGCATGGTTAAAAAATAAATTCAGAGATTGCCATTTCACAGATTATATCTGTCCCGGTATGCTAGCATTCGAGACTGAAAACATATAACCACATATTTTTGGTTGTAATAAAATAGTTATTCTCTTCAGAGTGATTTTCTGGATAGTATTACATTAATATTGTTTATCATGAATTATTAATGGTGTTTATTGTTAAACTGCACTAGATGTCAGCTGAGATATTTCAGTGTCATTTTTTTGCATTATGTTTGTGACTACCAGGTAAACACTGTGATATAATGTTGGAAGATAATTGTCTATAAAATCTGATGTAATGGATATTAAATCAAAAATGTCTGCAAATAGAAGTTGGGCACAGCTGGAGAAGATATGTGTGGTACCTGGTTTTACTGTAAGCAGAAACAAAATTCACTTTGCATTGTATTGTCCTCATTTCAAGTAATGTAACTGCTAAACTGTTGCATCTATTTGCAAATAAAAAGGGATGTTTCACTAATGATTCAGCAACAAATTTCCTAAATGTTTTGTTAACTCCTTCATTTACTTCTGTGTTGTAGGGAATGTTTTGTAGTTATTATTTTACAACATATCAAGGTTTTTAAAATCTACTCCATTTAGTTCGTCTCAGATGTGTTTCCTCCCTTCACTGTATTTCTGTATAAATATATGGTACTTTTGCATTTCAGCAGGAAAAGAGCTATTGTTTCAAAGAGCTATGTACATGTACATACTGTACAGTATCTGTTTAACTGATCCATGAACAAGAGGGTAATTTTCTATGTCGCTGTCTTGACTGACTTCCATGCTTCCACCCGCAAATGAGTAAATCATATACAAACCTAGGAAGAGTTGCTGCTTTTATTCCTCTTAACCCAAAGCTTTCAAAAAACATTTTTGAATTACAGAACACACATCTTTGATCCAGAAACAGAGCCTGCCAGGCCTGTGTCGATGCACTTTAAAACGTCTTTTCATACACTCCACTTAACAAACCCACTCTTCAAACCGTATATACATATCATACAAGGTTGTTACAGACACTCTTGAAATCCACACAACAAAGCTTTACAAAATAAACTCAATCCCCCCCCCCCTCCTCTTCTTCTCTTAAAGGACAAAGGCTTTGTTTATGCTTGCTCATTTACAGCCATTTGCTTAGAGATTCATCTATTTTCCTCCTGGGGGATCTGTGAAGAAGCCCACTGCTGATGCTTCGATCGCAGTAATCAGTGATCTACTGAAGCATCCGAGGTATAGCGTGTAAACAAAGGTCCTTTAGTCCAATGCTTAGCTTATCTTTGTAGCTACCACATGCTGTCAGTTTCATGGCAAGAATATTAAAGCGATAACATCAAGAGCACCACACAGTGGCAGGCTGAACTAAAACAGTGAGGTTTTCCACTAAAACAAAAAGGAAAAGGCATTTATACATTAATGAATATGCTGTGGAGGCATCCATAAATGTGTTTAAACAAATCCAACTCAAGGACCACTGTACAAGAAGCAGAAAACTTATGGCACTTAAAAAGCTAAAGTACAGGGGGAACATAGCTATTGCACAGCTACCCTGGTATTTGATTTTGCTTGTATTAGCAATATTATACTACACACAAAAATAACAGTTGGAAGCAGGTTATATACAGCTACAAATTGCAAAATATACAGCAAACGCAAACTACACCGGGATACATAAAAATGCAGTTAAACACCTTTGTATGTGCTACTCATTTTCACATTACATAGAGGGGTTTTACCAAGTCCTGCCAAAGTTTGTGTCTTTTTGATTATATCCAGAAAAAATGAATTGACACTGCATGGGAAATACCGTATATACTTTGGTAGGAACATAAGCCGAAATGTGCCTAATTGCATTTAAATTTAAAACTTTAACGTTTACCGTCATGTTACGGAGACTCCAATCAGTAGAATCTAGAACTGTAAACCTATTTTTAATGAAGTTTGGTCCACTAATTTTGAAAGTGCTAAACAATGCACAATACATACAAAAATAATTAACTGGACCAAAAGCCTAACGGTTACCATTTCCTTTTTCAAAGAGCTGTCTGAAGACAGCCATAAAACACATGTTCATTGCTCTGTTAAAGATAGTTTTATTTAGTCTCTGGCCTTATTTCATTCTCATGTATAAATAAGGCAACAAGAAATCAGCAGGTCAAACTTTGGCAGTATTAGTAATATTTGCCACTGACAGGGGATTTGTTACCTATACTCCCCATGTTATACTGCTAAAACTATATACCAGATCAGTCAGTAGTCATTATACTAATATTGCACTGACGGTCTTAGCCTTATAGAATAAATACTTGGTTCCAGTGTCAGGCAAAGCTGTTGCTGCAGCAGTCAGTGAACAGCCTTATTGCACATGCTCATAGAATGATTTTAACTAGAGCTACTGTAATGTCACACTGTTTTTTGAGTAATACGTAATACTTATGAAGGGTTATGAAATCATTTCTATATGGTTTCACAATCACACAAACATGTTATGCTTAAATTAAAAAAAAAAGATTAGCCTTAATTGTAACTCTGCTCCATTTGCTCCAGGTGTTCAACAGATGCTTTTCAGAGCAGGTTTTTCATTTTGAGAGATGGTGGATGTTAAATGCCTTGTTTACTTATTTAAACTGTCAGCTATCAATGTGCTGGCAAAACAGAAGGAAGCTTGCGAGTGAGTTAATATTTCACTTATGGCTTTTTTTTTTTAACAAGCGGTACTAAAACATGCAACTACAATAACCGTCCACAGACTGCACAAAAAACAAGAAGGTAACCCACAGCAGTCTGGACTTGTCCTCTCCTTACAAAGAAACTCCATCATTGAAAACATCCTTCTGATTTTTGCAAGGCCACACTAATCATGGTATAATACGGATTCTGTGGTTACCTTTAAGAAAACCAAAGATAACATCTTTTATCAGTCTTTTAGTCTTCAGTAAGGTGTATAACCCAAAATATCCACCTTTATGCTCAGGGCAATGGCATTATACTGGTTGGAGGAGAGGAGATGTTGTCCTGAGGCTGGAATAATTTAATAGGTGACAACCTGAAGCAAACACTGGGCATTTCTTGTCTTTGTTGGCCGATGGCTGGTTCTCTTTCTCGCTGGCTCCTGCTTGCGGGAGCTCAGGAAACCCCAATCAGAAGAGGGCTCACGGGGGCATCTTGGGATTGCAGCTGAAGGTGACAGGACAAGAAACAGATCAGCTGGGTGAGCTTGCAAAGAGAAAGGTGTTCCAGTTCCTGAAACTCCAGAATTTAACTGCCCATTTGCAAAAAAAACATTAAAGTCTTTGCAGTTTTGTTCGCTTTAACATGTATATATTACAAATGCTACAGATATTTTTAGAAACTGTGGTAAAGGATTAAATGCACAGAAGACTGGCTTGGTTAGTATTGGACTCAGATGTAATGTGGACATATATATTTTTAAAGTGCAGAAAGGTTAAAGTCCATTACACATTACACTAGAGGCTTTTAGGTCTGTGTGGGTGATACAGAAAGTCTCCTCTAAATTGGGCCTCACATTATTAAGTACTGCAAAGTTTTCTTTGCATGGCTGGGATTCTCAGCTCAAGCTATAAGAGAAAATGGAATAAATAATGACATTCAATATTGTCAATTGTTAGTCATTTTTTTGCTATTATTTTGAATGTGGGAGGATGTTATTTAGAAAAAAATGACAACAATGTGGGTTAATAAGATGGTAAAAAAAGCATTATGTGATCATTTCACTACATTTTAGAACATTTTCCTCCATTATATAATCGATTTTGAACATTTTTAATGTAGCAGCCACACTCAGCAAAAACATGGTTCAGTATTGGTTGCCAGTCTGTGTGAAGTTATGTATTGGCAGGTGAATTAATGAAGACAGTTTAGCCTAGCTGTGATTGATAGATTTTTGTGGGAATGCCCATTAGTGGCTAACTTTATACACGATTCAGAATAGGTTTGGTTAAACTAATAATTTAAGATTTAATTAAAGCCCAGCTGGAACCTAAATCTAGTTCCAATTTGTGCTCAAAACTTGTTCCTGCATTATGGATTTCTAAATGGCAGATGAAGAGTGGTGGCTATGGTGCTTGGCTCTTTTGAACCAAAAGGTGGTGCTGTTTGTCAGTATCGGACCCTGGCTTGTCACGCATGCCTTCCCTATGCAGCGAGTAATGGCCATGGAGCAGTGACAATGGCAGGGCAGTGCAGGCACAGGCAGAAGGAGCCAGCGTGCCATACCTTTACCGGCACAGGGAGAGTAGGAGCTTAGAGAGGAAATCTGGTACTCATTCTTCTGGATATACTCAGGAGAAAGAGAAGGGCAGAGACAAGAAGGGTATCAGGAAGACAGGGAGAAGCAAAAAAGTACCCAATGGCATCACATGCATCCCAGACTACAGCCTGTTCCAAAAGTAGCCACTCTGTCTAGAGGAATAGCAGTATCTCGGTCCTTCCTCAGCCTGCTGATGGAGATGTGGTCTCTGAATAACTTGATTAGTAAAACTTCTGAGATTTTTATATACTCCAAACTAACTTAAAACAAATTCTTATAAACAGGAATGGCAAAGGTAAAAGACATTAAAAAAGGATGCCCTAATCGCTGGCCATCTATGGTCTATGAATAATGGGAAAAGTACCTTGCTAGAAAAAACATCACATTACAAATAGGAGGACCAGAGTGCTACACTCAGCTATGTTGGCATGATGGTATTAATAGAAAAATGATATACCAACAAAATTCAGACCCTGGTTTTAGTGGTAAAGGGACTTGTGCACTATACTGTAAGAGGGACTATGCAGTGTGGATTACAGGTTGACCTGCTTTTAGCTGAGCAAGAGGAAATGAAAAGGAACAGGTCCTCACCTCCAGATTCGTTCTTGCCTTTTTCAGTACATCACGTGTCCTGGATACTGAAAATCCAAAGGGAAACAGTAAATAACATCTATGGATAACAGATAATAGCATCTATAGGTAATTATAGATAATAACGTAAGTCAGATAATAATGTCTTAACTCATACCCATTTACTTTACAACTCTGCCTAAAAATAATTGTGAGGAAAACTGATTTGGACATTTCAGAACTGGATAGAGAACTTAAAGAAAGCTATTGCTAATTCAGAGAGGTACTCAGGTGAGTATCGGTACTGTTCTTCCAGGGTTAGTGGTGAAACTGGGCATGATGTCTCGCACGGGGGTGAACTTACACTGGCTGACAATGAAGTGCTCCATGCTTTCCTTGGTGCGGTTGGTGTTCTTCAGCCTCTCGATGGTGCTCTGCAGCAGACCCTCCTGTTCTGTGATCTTCCGTTGCAGCTTCTGGATCTCCTCTGTCATGGATTGTTCCTGCATTCCAGTTGGGAGATGACAGTGTGAACACTCCGTACTTCCACACAAAGCCTTTCAGTTTTATTGAAAAACAGAACGGAGCTCGCACACTCCCTTGCATTTCTTTTCCTATCATTTTACTGCACATGACAGATGTCGGGGTTTTCTCAACCTTGGCTGCCAAAGCGAGTGCTACCGTTTGGGGATTCATGTTCACAGTTGGCTGGGGGATGTGATCCAGACTCGAACCCGAGACACCTGGATCAGTGAGCTCAACGCTCATTCAGGTGAGCTCCTTTCCCAACTAAGCCCGGTGGGAGCCCTGAAAAAAACCTGGATCACAGGGCAGACTGGTGTGTGGGTCATGATGACAGCTATCTTCCAGTCAGAGATCTATCTGAGCTGTCCTGGGAGCTCTCGGTCTGACCTTTTTGATGTGCTGGGCACAGCTCTCGCCACTGGGCAGGGCAGCCCTCCAGAACATCTTGAGGAGGGAGGCGGCTTCATCCAGGATCTGCCGCAAGGTCTTCGTATTGGAAAGGAGCGTCTTCACACTGCTGCAGTCTAGACTCTGGGGGAGGTGGGGTTGCAAGAAGAAAGGGTTAAAAAACTGCGAATAAAGCAGTGTCGGAGGCTCGGTGGCTAAGGATCTGCGCCTGTGGCTGGAAGGTTGCTGGTTCGTATCCCGCAGCCGGCAGAGGAATCCTACTCAGTTGGGGCCCTGAGCAAGGCCCTTAACCCCAGCTGCTCCAGGGGCACCGTATACATGGCTGACCCTGCGCTCTGACCCCCAGCTTCTCTCCTTGTCTGTGTGTCTCATGGAGAGCAAGTTGGGGTATGCGAAAAGACAAATTCCTAATGCAAGAAACTGTATATGCCCAATAAAGTGATCTTGTATATAAAGGAGCCAAGGAGCTATGAAGCTGTCAGGCACTGACGTCGCAGTTACCTGGCCTGTATTGACCGCAGCACTGAGGGATGACTGCAGCACTGCCTCCATCTTGTGAACCAGCATTTTCCCTTCCAGGATCTGCTGCTGCAGGGCGCTGAAATCATCCACGTGGCCGATGGCATGGCGCCCGTTCTTATTGGCAAACGAACCGTCTGGTGCCTCTCCTTCCAAGACCGTGTTGGGCTGCAAGATGTCGACTAAAGGGCGCAGTTGGTTGTTTTAGATTTCGCGGCAAATGACAAAGGCAAAGCAAACTACGCACCAATCTATCTGAACAATAACATTTGTGTAGGGTTTCTTTATAGCAATGCGTTGCTCATCTTAAGAGTAGTACCATGGGAGTACTGCACAAAGTTAGGGCAATTACGCGACAGATGGAATTCACTTCAGTTGAATGTTTCACAAAATGAAGACGGAAAAAATTAACTTGCCACTAGGTGGAAAACATACCCCCACTCCCTGTAACGTCAGGATCATCCAGATCTGTAGATTTGGAGAACAAGGTGAATGGGGATCCTGGGTTAAACATCCCAGTGTCTCTGACTGGTGGCGATGGCACTGGATCTACAGGAAAAGAAACAGATGAAATCACGGGCCTAAACTGTAGAGTAGATGTACACTGAAGGTAAGCATACTGTGCACAGCCATTTTGAGTGCAGAAACACTGGTGTGAAGTGGGATCTGGCCTCTCACCCTGGAAGAGCTGCCTCTTGCAGCCCGTGTCCCTGGGGGTGGTGATCGAGATGGAGGAGGGCCGGGGGGCGCGGTGAGTGGCCAAGCTCCGACCCAGCTGCTGCTCCAGCTGTTCCCTCAGGCAGCTGTTCTCCTGGATGCTGTGCTCCAGCTGCACCCGCAGGCCGCGGACCTCCGCCAGCAGCTCGTTCAGCTCCAAGGCCGTGGCCGCCCCCCCTCTGTACGCTGCCATGCCAAGGGCACATGCTGTTAGTGGCAAGCTGGTGATGAGGTTTTTTTTACTTATGGCCTTTTTTTGAAGCCAATACTCATTGCGTCCTCCAGAAGACTCTTGCTATCCTTCTGCTTGTGCAGCGAAACAGCATTAGTAGCATGTCGTTTCCTGCGTTCGAGCTTCCCGGCACAATACCAGTGCGTTGATCTTGCAAACCTGAGCTTTAACGTGCTTACGATCTTCCCTTGACAGCCACTGTATTTGTCGTCCATATTTATAAAGAAGCTGGAGATATCTCACCTATTACTTTGCATTTTCTGCAAAGTGCGAGGTCTGGTACTAGAAAATAATATCCATTCTTTCATTAGCAATTCTATCTAATGCGTCAACGAGTTACGTTCTTCTCCTGTTCGCTGCCCTACCTGCAGTACATGCTAGAACTGAGGTTTACCTGAGTGAGGGGACTGGCCAGCCCGGCACACCCTGTCGTACACCTGCAGCTCACACTGGAGGGAGTGGAGCAGCTGACGGCTGTCGTCCAGCTGCTGCTGCTGCAGGTTCACCTCGTGCTGCAGCCTGCAAGGCAAGAGAAGATGCTCAAGCAGAAAACAAAGAGGGTCACAAGCAAGCGGAGGCCTGTCAGCCTCTTCTCGAACGAAGTCGAGTTGTTATTAACAGCTGGCTGCATACATACGCGATCCTAAATAATATAGTGCATTGTTAACTGATGCTGGAAAGGCTCGGAGACTAAATGAAATCCTCACTCCTGGTTCTAGAGAGCCGTGGCCCTGTGCGTTTTCTGACCATCTCAGCCCTCATCGAGATAGTGCTTGGAAACAGCGGCAGTTAAGGTTAATTATAATAAGAGATTTAATTAAGTCACGAAGAGTGCAGATAGAAGGGGAACCAGAAGGCAGTGTGACCCTCCAAGGCCCGGGAGTGAGAATCACAGTTTAGTGTACTCAATACATGATTTATCTTGTCCTGGCACTCAGCGTTCGAGTGTGTCAGGAACGCAGATGACTATTTCCCATTATATTAGTAAGCGTGAACTGTCATCGTGTTGGTAATTTAAGGACACTTTAATCTTAAATGCATATGCGTTCAGCAGCATTGCCACGAAAAACAGAAAACAACTGCCCCACGGCGGGCGGGATCGGTACCCGTTGTTGCGCTCCTGGCTGGCCTGTTTCTCCTGGCGGAGCTGCTGGATCTCCTGCTGCTGCTCGCAGCTCTGCGCCTGCAGCTGCCGGCTCTCCTCCCGCCACTGCTCCGCCTCCAGCTCCGCCTCCTTGAGCCGCGCCCTCCCCGCCAGCACCGCCTCCCGCAGCTCTTCCATCTCCGCGGAGCTCTCTGACAGCGACACAGCGCAGAGCTGGGACCCACACCGGCCTCCGCTCGCACTCCCTACCGTCGCAGCTGGCTTCAGCAACGACTGAGACGGACATTCCCTACGTTTTGTAGGCCTCCTAACCCTAATAATAATAATAATTAATAATTGCTTACACTTATATAGCGCTTTTCTGGACACTTCACTACAAGCGCTTTACAGGTAATGGGGACTCCCCTCCACCACC